GCTTCCGGAACTTTACAATTCCGTAAAGTTTCGGCGAGTATTACGAACAATTTGTCACCGTTACCAAAATGAACTGAATTATGAGCGCCTGCTGCATCGCAACTGAGAGTGAGAGCTGAGAAAGATATTTGTGGACGCGACTGCGATAAACTGTGGTGTGGGTCGCGAGTCATACCGACGGCCTCCCGCTACCTGCCGCTGAGCCTTCGCCCCAGCCCCGGAGGCGCCGTGGTCGCTGCCCGTCTTTTCAGACGACCGGGCCGCACAGTGAAAGGATGCAACAGCTGGATGGGGTCTAATGACCTCCACAACAACAAACATGGATGATGTTATCGCAGAGCCCGGCAATGGCTCCAGTTAGGCCCTTCAGGCAATATAAAAAAATGTACTCTTGCTAAAATATTTTTTTGTGAAATTCAGGCAACGCTTCTCAGCCGCGCAGCTAGAATAAAGTTCAAATGGCAGGCCATTTTTCTATAAGCTTAAGATTTTCCTGTGTTAGATTTTAACTACAATAAGTTTTATTGTGGGAAAAACTGAGCTCAGGTAGAAACTCACTTGTGGCCATGCTTGTTTTATATTAAGTCATTAAACAATTTGACATTCTAAACCAATTTCCTGATGGATGTCGATAAAATTTCACCTTTTTCAAAATAATGGCCACCCTACTGTCCAGTAAATGTACACTTCCCCTTCCCACCACAAGTGGCACTCTTCCCACGATAACCCCCGTCGCAACTGGGAGCGAAGACCCGAGCACTCGCGCTTGTCTGAAGCCTGTTGGACTGGTATTTATTATTTTAGAGTGAGCCGTAGGTAAAACGCATTGATCAATAAGATAAACATTAACTCGTCTCCGATATTTTAACTTATTACAATGAAGCAGTGAACATTTTACCAATACATAAATATAACATATAATTCTTTCGTGTGTTTGTTTTTAATATTTTGAGGCCCCCTAAGACACCGAGGTCCCTATCAGCTGCCGGGTTCGCCCATGTTCTTTGTTTGCAAAATGTCTTCGACAAGTTAGCTGTGACAGAAGCAGGTCCAGAAACGAATTTTGGGGGGAGGTATTTGTATGTCTTTGTGTATATGTGTATAAGCACAAAGATAATATAAATTTTAAACAAGGTAAATTGTTTATCGAAAAACGCTTTTAACAAAAATTTAAAATATTAAATTTAATTAATACTTTATAGTTTTAAATTAAAAATAGTGATTCTTTTCTTATTAAAATCGTTGTATTCAGAGCTGGAAAACCACGAAGGATTAGGGTATAATATTTTTCATTGCATACAGATTTCAACAGAAAGAAATAAAATAAAAACGCATGATATAAATTTACATATTAAACATTTGCTTGCATACAAACATTACTGCCTAGAACTGAAGAAAGGCGACAGGATTTCACAAAACGTTTGAAGCTTCTTCTACTTTTTATTTTTATTAGATTTCTTTCTCTAGGCGAAAGTAAGCTATACATGCCCTATTCTTTTGTTTCGGGCACACTGTAATTATGAGAAATGTGCTAAAATAACTAAAACGCTAAGAAGAGAACGCGCAGTTATTTTTTCGATAAAATTGGGAGTTTCTACATTTTTTTCTTGTCACTCATTTTTATACTTACTTCACTCATTTTTTTGCCTAGGCCAAATTTGATCGACCACTACGATTACATCAGTAACATATTCAACAACTTGAGTTATGCATCTGAATTTGTTTTGATACAAAATTACCTCATTTTTCTTTGTCTTTAAGGCATATTAAAATCATTTTAAGAGTATTTTATTGATCATTTTTGGCAATGGTCTACAAAATCCGCCTCTTCATTATTATATTTCTTCATCCTGGGGATACTATATAAATGCCAGACTGTGATCAGTAAAATAAGTTTTTTTATTCAAAATGTTATGGTCCAAAGTATCAAATAACAGATTATGTAAAATGGCTAAACTCAGCTCATGCTGTTATACAAGTATAAGAAATTTCCCTCATCTCCCCCCCCCTCCCCAGTGGATCCGCACCTGACTATGTGGTGTTCAAATAATTATCTTAATTTAAATACTGATAATTGTAAGTGTATTACTTTCACTAGACCAAGGTCATGTCTATATTTTATGAAATAAACTCTTTTAAAAGAGAATGTGTCTTAAATATTCGGGATCTTGGAATTATTTTTGACTCGAAATGTCATTTTCTGACCACATTGTGTTCATTGTAAATAAATCGAACCAACTACTGGGTTTCTTTGAAGAAATTGTGTTGGCTTTAATTCCTTTCTTACCTTGAAAACTCTGTACACCATGATTGTCAGACCTATTCTTATGTTTGCTTCTTTAGTTAGGTCTCCTGCCTTTCAGGTTTACATTCGCAAACTTGAAACGGTTCAACAGAGGTTCTTTAGGATGTCATCTTGGCATCTAGGATTGGATTGCCAGACCCGTTCATTAATCATAATTATGGTGATATTGCGACTGCTTTGAACATTCCATCTCTTGCGTCTCTCAGAAATTATAATCATTTGATATTATTGTAGAAGCTCGTGAACTCACATATTGATTGTATTTTATTATTAAATCAGATTCAGTACAAAGTTCCTCAAACTACTATCAGAAACAGAGATCTATTTCGTATTACTATACCTAATAGTGTTTATACTGTAAACAATCCATTAAATAGAATGTATAAATTATGGAATTCATGTTACATGGGCATTTTTCATATGGGTAATTATGCATTTATTAGATTGGCAAAAGCTTATATTATGAGTTATGAATGAGATTATATGCCACTATCATGTGAGTTAAACATGTATGTTTTAAATTACTATGTTAGTTAATATGAATCTATTTATGGTTATAACTATATTTACATTTTTGTCATTATGCATGTGTCCTTTTTTTGTAAAGGGTTCATCCTATTTATTTGAATAAATAAATTAAATAAATTTCCCAAGAAAAGTCCTCAAATACAAATCAAAAGGAAGAAGAGACCCTGGCAGAATAGGAATGCACTGGAGGCGACTGAGGGAATAGGAGGCAATGGAGCGACCAAGGAACAGGTCAACCTTAAACGTTCATGATGATGATGAACAAAACAGTCTTTACAAATACTGCAATAACTTATTGCAAACAGTTCAATTGTGCTTTATATAATCAAGAATATCAAAAAGTTGTTCCATAATGCAGCACGTGAATAACAAATATTTAATGTCAAGTGGCCTCTTCCTAGGAGCCTTGGTGTCATATGTCATCAGCAGTGGTGCATTGAATAATGAGAATTCAGTCTGTAAGAGAATAGAGACAAATTTTTGTAGTTTTGACATTTTATTAAATATTTGCATTTTCCAGTCAAAATTAAAACTTGTAAAAAAGTTTTGGATTTTCCAAGTTCCTGGGTATTTAAAAAAAATATAGATACATCTCACATGGTCAGAGACTGTAAATTTTCTTTCTAATTCTGCATGCTTTGGAAATTAATAATACAGATTGTCATCAATCAGATGAATCAAGGCAGAATTATCTCTGTATGTATTTCTCTCCTGTAGGTACCATGAAACCCTCCAAAATTGTTTTTCTAGAATTATTCTATAAGGATGTGGCTAAAAATAATTCCAATCTATTGTCTTGTCAGGAGGAATTAAATGAGCCATTGATCACTTCTCCAGGTGCCCCAACCACTCAAATGTGAAGCAGGCACTGTAGCTTTGCCAAATGTGAAGCAGAACCCCCACAAGAAAAGAATATTTTTTAAATTCTCTTAGAATGTTTTGGAAGGACCCAGGGATGACACTTTTTTAACCTCAACGATGTACTGTAAGAGGTCTAACTATTTTAAGTGATAGACACATGAATTCCTACAGGTAGAATACATGTAATAATAGTTCATGGCAAAATTGACCTCAATATGTTATAAACCATTAAGTTATTTTTGCTGGGGTGGTTTTCGCACATCATCTAATTTTTTACATACTAAAGTGAATATGTGGAAGAGGAAGGGGTGAACATCTCAGCTGACATATGTTTTGAGGCAGCAAACTGACTTAGTTAATGAAAGCCCATTATGCAATTTGTAGCAGTTCGTAAATTTTGCTTTTATGTTGAAAAAACATAGTGTCCTCTCTCTATTCACAAGTTAATATTAATGATGCAGTTCATAAGTTTCTCTTCCTTTAATTATGATGTTTCATTTTCCTTCCCATGCACAAGCTTACACACATGCACACCATGAATTTCATGCCTTTGAGAGGAGTATCACAACTCAATAAATTTTCTTCTTCAACGCATGGAGACTGACAGGATTATATAAAAGTTATCATTATTTCATATTCTGAATAAAAAATGTTGTTTCACTCTAATAAAATATTTTGTTTATTTACTAAATGCATGTTATGTTAATGTATTGGTTTGAGTTGTGCTACTTAAAAAAAATAAAAACTCTTAAAAATTGAAATTCTAAGAAGTTTTATTTCTACAAAACATTATTCTAGAATCTTAGTATAAAATATTCTCACAATCACTGTATTATGTACAGGGTGACATTCCACCCATCAAATTTAGTTTTATTTGGTCAAACACTGAATTAGAGTAAGAGTAACTGTTACCAGCTAGTTGGATTGATGTTAAACTTGTGTTCAGAAAAACAATGTTCATATTTCAGGAAACTTTTGTCAATGAATTTAAAATAATAACACACAATTTTTCAAGAAAAGATATTTTAATGTTTATGATAATACAAACTAATTTAAAACATTTGCAAGTTACTGAAATGAAATCAAAATAAAAAGTAATGTAGTATCAAAGATACCACTCACAAATATCCAATGAACAGTCAACGTACAATTCCTGGTGCTCCTTTCTTAAGTAGATTTGTCTGTAATTGACTTATAGCTAGGATATAAGAGAATATTGGAAACAGTTCATTTTAACACAATGCAACTGTGGACCAAGATAGGAAATATCTTTAACCAATGGTTACTTCTAGGTATATTCTATAGCATTTTTACATTATCATATAACATGTTCTATACAATATATATATATATTTATATAAATATTTCCTCTTTCTTGTAATTCATATTTTATTGCTATAATCATAAATATTGTCAACTAGAAGAGGATTATAACCTTGAATATTTTGCACACAAAATACTTCCATATCTAGAAAGCAAATTAAATTAACAGCACATGTCTGGAACACTAATATAACAATTCTCCAGGCTGGCAAGTAGATTTAAATATACATACACATATATGCATACGTATATAAACTATGGACAGATTATGGCACATGGCTGTAATTACCCTTGGGTACATTTGCAATACAAGTCACAACTAGATTTCAAACCTCAGAAACATATTTTAAGGTGATTCCAGTCTTTTATCAACGAAGACAAAAGGTTTTGCCACATAAACTTAATTACAAGATTGTTTTTTAACAAAGAGTGAAAATATGGATATAAATGTACTCTGCATATGAATGTGAAATTTACAATCAATAGAAATATAATTATTGCATGTATTACGTATTTTTATTTAGCACACAATATCGTAAATATATCTGCAAAGCTTACTCTTCCTCACATATTCTAGAATACTTTTATATACAATTTATGCAAACACTTCACCACACATATGTATTTACATTTTCACATCCACACAAGCTTGAAATAATTGTATATGAAAGTACATACCATATTAATAAAACAATAAATAAATATAATGTATTAAACACACAATCCCAAAAGTGAAAACAAGTAGTCATGACTCCTTTTGTACCCAAGAGTAGTGATTAATATGCACAAAAACTTAAATGTCAGGCATTATAATCTTAAATTACTACATAAAATGTCAATTTGAGAACTCAGTGAGCATATACACTCTCAAAATCTTCTAATCACTGCAGTGACAGTAATATAAAGGTATATGATGCCATTTATCAGCATTCTCACAGTGTTACCTCCCTAAGTATTTAAGGAAACATCTTCCAAAAGAGGTGATGAAAATTACTATTTCTAAAATGGAGTTGCGAATTAACACAGGTCCATGACAAATTATGCATAGGAGTGCTTGAATTTCTAGAAAAATATATTTTATGCTACTAAATAAAATAGGTATATAAAGCACGAAATAATATAACGTTTTTTCTTGTTTTTTATTTTGTGAAAAACTACATACAAACTTGAGAAGTACACATACCAAGAAAAATAATGGTATAAAATAGAACACATTAAAAAATGTAAATGAAAAAAATGCTGTAGACACATTTTCAATACAAACAACTCAAAAGAAAAAAAGATTGTTTATAGATCACAAAACTTCAAACTTTTTGAAGAAAATTTTTGAGATGGAAATTTACAAATATTATTTTTCTCATACTCGCAATGACTGAAAACAAGTGATTTTTAATAAAGAAACAAAATAATCATCTCTAGACAGTGCATTTTACTTCCTGGGCAATGCTAATGATTGGTTATTCACCTGTAGCTTTTTTGTAAACACAAAAGAATTCACGTAGAAATAAAAAACTGCAATAACTACAATTATAAAAAGATACGTTTGAAAATTTCAAATTTTTTTCTTGTCTGACATGCCATCTCCTACAAAGTCAAGAATTTATTTACGTCTTGGCATCCCTGTTTAAATAAAACTTTAATTCTAAACAAAATTAACATTATATTTTTTTCTTTTTTCTCTCTCAAATCAATGCCAAAATATGTATTTCTTGGTATGGTGCTTTCAAATTTAACTCATGCCATTATAGTTACTAAACAAATGCTAGTGGACATTAAAATATATTATAGAATGGTACTTCCAAGTACATAAAAATGATACATTTCAATTTTTAAAGTTAATAGCAAATAAACGTTTAACAAATACTTTGACTGAAGCATGATTGGATGAATTAGACAAAAATTATCATAATAGAGGAATAAGAGGAAAATCTCATTTTTATCTTTATTTACTACATACTCCATATAACATTTTCTGTTTTGCAATGTTTTTTTTTTCAGCACAAGGGATGTATGCAACATATTTTAAATAAACTTTAATTTATCATATAAGTGTGCTATAACCATTGAATTACTATGAATAGAAATGGAGAAAAGAAAAATGCAAATATTGTTTAATGAAAAAGATTGAAGTAAGATTCTATAATTCTTTGTTTGCTTTACTAAAGGGTTTTACTTGTTGACTTAATGATATATATTTAAGTACAGATAATCAATAATTCAGACTACTGAGATTACTTTCACTGATAAATCTAACTTATGGTAATTGAAAGATAAATTATAACTTCCCATTCTTTTCAATGAATTACAATTAACATTACAAAATCTAATTCCTCCAGAGTAGAAGGCAATAAATAACCAGTTGTTTTTTTTAAATATCAGAGGTAGTGCAGTGTGTGCAGTACAAAATGCCTTCTAATGAGATCAATAATAACTCCAAAAGATTAGTAAAGTATAATTTTCTTTGATTGGCACACTCTTTCCAATGCATGTACTCAACAGATTTAAATGAAAAATGGAAGAGAAAGAGAAAAGAACACTACTTCTAAGGAAAACCATTTGTTATTGAAACTTTTGCATTTGCCAAATTTACAAGAAAAAAACCTCCAAATTTAAACTAAAATCTTTTTCATTCTGTAAATTAGAAATAATATTAATGTACATGTAAGTTTCAATTCTTTGACCATTACTATCGGGCAAATTTTGAATTTCATGCAAACCGTTATGTATTTGTTGAAAATATCATTTTAAGATTCTAAAGAATCATTCTTTTATTAAAAATAGAAGACATATCAATGTTTAGGTCAGTAGAAGCTATGATATACAACCAGAGATACTTGTTGCAATAAGCGTGAACATGAAAGTATCACCTGCAAAACTGAGCGAAAATTACTAGTCACTATCATCTATCTATACATTACGTAAAACAACTCCTACAATATATACACACACAAAACAAAAAGTCTGCAGATTTTAGTGAAGTATTTTAATTAAAATAAAAGTGAAAATTCTGGAGAAATTTTGTTTAAACTTCTCTTTTAACCAAAAATATTATGTGAATCTAACACTATTTTTAATGAGAGAAGTGCTGTTAAAAGTATTATTTTGAAAAGTATACATAAACTTGACAGTTGATTCTACAAAATAAAATAAAATTAAATTAAAAAACCCTCACACAGGAAATAATAACACAATAATGGTAATCCCGTTGGATTTTGCTGCACTCAATCCTCAAAATATTATCTTCTTTTAATTGTAACATGGAAATGTAGAAGCATTGAATTAATAGGTGGAAAAGTACAAAGATTCAATTACGCAAGAATAACAGATACATCAGCTTAATGCATCACAAATATTATTCAAATAAAAGTGCAACTTAATAAAATATAATCATCTAAAAAGTAGAAATATAAAATTATAAAACCATGGATTATTGCATGCTTTATGGATGTATATGTGAATACATGCACAGAAACTGATAGAAATTTTAGAATTAAAGAATTCCAGATTACAATTGAAATACAGAAATTTTTGAAGTATCAATATACTCCTGAATATCAGAATATTCTAACCTTGAGGAGTCTTTTGCAAATGACATGCAGTTAAAAATAGAAAATTAAAAATGCTAGGGTATAAATGGGTACTAATAACTAACTAAATATTGAACGAAGATTCAAAGAGTTGTTTCAAAACCAAGAACATTCCATATTTTCTTTGAAATATTTGCACAAAAACATTTCAAAACCAGAAAATTAAATACTTATATCTTTTGCTTAAACTTCACAAAGTAAATCTAGAATTTACATCGGATATACTTGAAAACCTTTTGGTAAAATTTTAATCATCTATTGAGGGAGAACTTTAGGTAATATATATTTAAAAAATACATTTATTTTGAAGGAGCAACAATTCGTAACAATTACTAAAAATCTCACTGTAGTCAATGCTATTTTCTGATAAATCAGAAGATAATGTTGTGCAACCCTTCACAGAATTGCACAACTGTATTAGCAATTAACTTGCATCATTTTTGCATTCAACCTAACTCCTAAGATCAAACAATACAGGTAAAAGGTTTCAAATACACATTCTTCAATTTACATACATATTGATACATATATGTTAAATAATTAGCTGCATTTTCTTGTGTATTGCGAAAATGAAAGATGTTCATTTTACCATGATAACTAAACATTTCAATACCTTTTACTAAATTAATTATAATTTAATACACAATACTAAATCAGGGCTACACATTCAGTGGTCTCAGCGTTATGATGCATCAGCTTGTGATCCAGGATGTTGTGGTGTGTTGGGGCAAGTCTTTCTTGCCTGGGCATTACTGAACCAGACTAGCATGTTATGAGGGTTCAAGTTGTGCAACCCTGGCCTAAATTATATCTGAATATAAAATACACTCTAAGAATTATGTACTCAAGTAAGTGGACTTATAATATGTACATTTCTCATTATTTCAGTGCCATAGAGATAGTAAACATTTTTTTAAATATAATTTATCATTCTCCGATTGAAACCTGACATGGTAAAATATTCACCTCAAAATAATGACTCAAAAGAATTCCACAATCTACAAATCCTGTACACTGGGAAGATTTGAAGTGCATGCAAACCTGTAAGAATTGTGCTGTACACCAGACACTGCACTGCCTCCAAAATAGTTGTATGATTAAAAAATAATCAATATTACAAATACTATGAAAATGTATGAGTATAAATTTCAAACCTCATTCTTTTTAACATTTTTAGAAAACTTTAACTGAAAGCAATTTCACAATTAGCAGCATCTTCTAGCTTACACTAGAAACATGGATCCTTACTGTTAAAGCTGGCAATTTGCCAATACAAGTTCAAGTCTGTATGATACAATAGATTGTGAATAATTTGTTTAAGAAATTTCTTAAATAAAGTTGAAAGATACTTTGGAATTAATATTAGCCTAGTTGCTACAGAGCTACAATTACTGGTATTTATTTTTTTCCAACATCTCATTAACATGATTTTATTAGTCAAAACAAAGCCAAGATTTATGACCAGAAAACTACAGTTTGGAAAAATTGCAATTTTATATAAGGGTGATTTTGATCCTCACAAAATATAAACGACTGAGACACAATTCATTGTATGTACAGCATACAGGCTTTGTCTTGCTTGAGCAAATGAAAAGGACACAACGGAATGTTCATGACTAGTCAACAGTCACTAGAACTTCCTCAGTCAGTTCCCATGATCCCTAGCAGCTGCAGTGCCTAGTAACTCAACAACTATGGTCCCTGTTCACAACTGCCAACACCATGACTAGAAGAAGAATCGGTTTCTTTTGCAATTGGCAATTACACGGGTGGGTAAGAATGTAGATTATTTTGGAATGTTTAAAGGAACATTGTCTCAAATTCTAATTTTATACTGATGTTGAAAACTACTCATTTAAAATTCAATTCTCGTACTCTTGATGTTAATGTTATTTACGTGAGGTGTGCAACTACAAATGCACTGAGAGTCGTTAAAAATTAGTGAAGAACATAATAACTACAATGAAGTATTTTATTTGACTACTGGAATACAGTCATTCATAAAACATGTACATAATGAATATTAAACCTACATTCAATGACACTTTGATTTTAAGTATATAGGCACAGAAGTGTCACTGTAGTGGGCAGAGGGAAGAGTATATTTGTCAAGAGGGTATTGACCAAAACTTTTTACAATGGGTTACTGTTCTACCATCACACAATTGCTATTCATAACTTAACATGGCAGCCTAGTAGATATCATCTGAACTCCTCCCATTCTGCTTTCTAACTGCAACACTCTTGTATAGGCATCATCACTGAGAATACAATTATGTAATAATAAACCAGGAGATTTATATATCCCTGATTAACACATGTCAAAGTTTATGGACAACCTATGCTACATAAAGTACTTTCAATCAAAATAATTTTTTTGGCTTAGAAAAGGAAAAAGTTCACAGTTCAGAATGATATTAGCACCAATATCGCATTTATTTGCATTACTTTACTATAAAAGTCTTTTTGATATTACGAATATTAAATTGTTTCAGCCCATGGTCCAATGGCTAATCACTAAATAATGTTTTTCCTGTATCATTTTCCAACAGAAATTACAATGTACATGTTGCATGTGACAAATCGTATTTTCCCAAAATACAAAGCAACAAGTAAAGCCTTAGTTCTTGGGTTGTAATACAACAAAAATACCATTGTTCTCTGACTGAAGTAAATGAACAAAGAAATTGTATTTTGATGAAAGCTAGAAACCTAAAAAATTGTTATTTTAAACCCAAGAAACTCTTGTTTCATATATTACCAGTAATTTAATACCAGTTATTTGCACACCTTCAGGACAATTTGAATTCTTTTTCCAAAAAGAGAACCATCTCCCAACTAAACAATATAGAATTAAATGTAATTTATTACTCTTCATTATTTTTTTGAAAAAGGCAGCTGAAGCAAGCAATTTTAAAATGCACTAATTGCATTTATTTAAACATTCCTTGTTTTTAGTATACAATCAATTAGTATCAGAGTAATACATAAATAAAACAAATTACATAATCTTTGACATGACATTTTGACAATATGTAAAACAAAATTTTCACTGAATGGTTAACAATTCTTGTTGTGTGCAGCAGTATGCTTCTCTCTTATGAGTAAAGAATGGCAACTGGCCTAGGGAACTTGTTCCTCAAAATGCTCAAAGGAGATATTTCACTGTTCAAAGAAAAAGGAAAATTAAATTAATTTGACACACTCTGTGAGAAATACTTTTCAATTTAAATCAGAAATGACTGAATGAAAACAGCCATTGATGAAATTCTGACCATTAGCATGCCAAAGTATACACATAAGTACCTCAAACATCTATGCTTCAGCAGTTTCAAGCCTCAGATCATACCGAAGCCTTCGGTGCCCTCACTAATGGCTAAAAGCAAGGCTTTCTCAAATTGTTCATAGCTCTCATAATCTGGTAAACAGAGTTGATTGAAGCTGCAACACAAAACAAAATAAAATTATGTTTTTTTTCAAAATGAATTAATGTTACAAAAATTGTTGCTGTTTCACTTTGGCCTCTGGGCTGACAACTGCATATTCACAATGAAGCTAAAGTTTCTAAAAATCATAGGACATGGGTCATATGACAATAAAAAATCTGCTCTGCAGATGGGAGGGGGTATGGAATGGGGGGTGGATCATAGGTGGTTCATGATTCCTTGTTTAAGATCCAGTTCCAGAATTCTCCAGCATGGAATAAGGACTGAGGAAAACCAGTTAAATGACCAGAAACCTGAATTCTCATTCAAGCAATGGCATCAACCAGCCCCATTATGTAGTGTGACATCACAAATCCTAAATGTACATTGTACGAATCCATGGAAGACTGTAGCTCAAAACTTTAGTTCTTGGGGAAGCACTTAAGTGCTTCCTTCTTCGGAGATACTAAGGTAGGCTACAATGCTATTGTTTGGTACTCAACAGTGAAAAGGTTTTTACACAATAAATATAATATCAAAAATCTAATAATGCTTTAAAAGCTTCAACTCAATATACACATTCAAAAATAAACTGAAAGCTTTCCTGTTAAACCATACATCCTAAAGTACAAAAGTATATGTACATCATAAACATGTATCTACATCAATATACACTAGTACAAATAATTTTTGCATTTTCTGTTGCATATTTTGAAACCACCCCAAACAGGTTGTTGGATATAAAGGATGGACCCAGCCCAGGCACGAATCTCCTATGAAGATTTTTTCTCTCTTTTTTCCTTTCTTTCTTTCTTTTTTTTTTAATTATAATTGATTTCAAGTTTAGTTTATTTAAGTATTTTAGTTAATTGTATTTTAGTTCATTGTATTTTAGTTGAGGCAACCGATTCTTTGAACAAATTTAATTAAAATGCATTATTACGCAGCAACGTGGTGACAATTTGGATTCCATCACAATTGCGGAATATATTCTCCGAGCACAATTGCGTCTAATAAGGTATTTGCGTCTAATATGATATTTCAAATTGATTTTGATGATCCAAAATATTGGATACCTTTGGCATGTATTATATACTATTTTATTGGTTTCTCAGCTTTCTTTTTACTTTTGATGTTTTTACTATCTTGTGATATTTTATTACTTCCAGTTTTAATAAGACATTTACAAATATTTTTGATTAGACAAAAAATTGATTGTCAGGGACCACAAACATTTTGATCCTTTGGAATGACAATGTTCCAACTAACACTTCAGTCATTTTGAGTAAATTGGTGAGGAAAATTGCATCAACTCATTTATCAATCTTCTCTCCACATACAGTGGTGATTTTGGGTGATTGTTGAAAGGGTTACAATATGGTGAACATTACAACAAATTATGAAAAAGGCTAAATTCAGTTCTGTTTAAGTAAGCTGTTATACACAAGGAAAAGAGGAATTTTTCTTTCTTTCTGAGTCAGACTTAAAATGCACAGTCACAAAAGTATTCTGTCATATTTTTTTCTGGTTGCAGAGGTTACTGCTAGTTGGGATATGTCTCGGTAAGCTTTGGCAATTTTTCAGGCTTTTGCAAGGCATGGCATACTTCAATTTGGCATTGAAAGTCTGCCTTAAGCCAAAACAGAAGGTCAATCACATTAGAATCGAGATCAAGGATTTCTGAAAATTTCATCACAATGCACCCACCCACACCTCCATAGTTACCTGACCAGGATCAACTACCTGACCAGGTGGCAACAGTCCCCTGATCACTCTACAGTTTCAGCATGGCCATCTCAAAGTTCTTTTTATTACTCATGCTCACAAAATTCAAGAAATGACATCATTGGGACATGATTGACAACAATGAAATGAGTTTTATAGCATTGAATTGAATTAATGCCTTATTTTATGTGGCGAGACTCAGGCCATGAGGCCAGCTCTTCCGTCTGACCACGCAATTTCGCTACGCTTCTTTCACCAACTGCCAGAGAAAGGAGGTATTTCTTGGGCAAGAAACAGGTGATTTCAATTTAGCTCAGAGGCATCATTTAGGCTTGAGGATCTTTTACATGCAAGTAAATCTAACATGGGACAGCCGGCTTTACTTCCCCTCTGAAGGAAGGGGTACAAAGGATTTTTTTGCCCTTAAAAATCCACGGCTTCCATCGGGTTTGAACCTACCAACTTGGGTACAACTTCTTTGAAATGTGTATTAAAAGCTCAGAATTTTCTTACAATTTGTTTCAATTGAGTCAGTTACAACTTGTTTAGTGTATAATCTCAAATGTATGTATCACTGGGGATTAGGAAATGCTCACTGTATCCGATTTACATGTTAAATGAGATTTCTTTGTCCTTGCCAGTTTTTATCGATGAGTCAAAGCCAAAGTGCAAATGGTACTTGAAAAATCAAAAGAATCAGGGGAATTAAAGATATTTTGACAATACTGTAAGCAAAATTAAATTAAATCTCTAAAACCCAAGATAAAACATTTTACCATATTTCATTATAAGAATTATAAAAATCTCAGTAAATATTAGATCCCCCTCCCTCCAGTTAGTAACAGAAAAACAAAATATCATTTACCATGTGTGAGCAGTAGGGAGATTTCCAAATGTTGGTGCTGCTGTTATTTGGAATCGTGGGCTTAACTCAACGAATCCTCCAGGAGGAAGCTGGGAGCAGCCAGTTGTGAACTGCAAGAGTCGTGCCATTTCTTCCTGGGTGAAATTGGCAACAGCAGTCCAAAACCAGTCAAGGATGCGACGGAACTCGGGGGAACCACCATTGACCACATGATGAGCTCGAAAATCTGCCACGCTGTATTCACCAGTACCACAAAGGAGCAGCTGGAACAGTCCAGATAAATGGAAATGGAGAATGGCTTTTGTATATTTTCAATTCGTTACAGTACACATACATCTATCTATATATATCACATATCTCTATCCTTGGAAGTGTTTCACATGCTAAGTTACTCAATGCTCTAAATTCACAAAAATTTTAGCCATAATTTTAATGAAAATCTGCTACAAGAAAAAAAAATATAAGCACATTATTAATTGTACATAACAACAACTTCATTAAATAAAAAAAAAAAGTTCATTCTTATAGAATCTGGTATTTTCAAAAAGCACAATTATTTTGAAGATATGTGAAAGACAAATGAGAACCCTGCCTTTCTGTATTTAAACAGTTAAACAAATATTCACTAGCACAAAGATCATTATAATTTATCATAAATGTATAGCAGACACAGAAAAATGAATTAAAAAAGAGCTCACTAATAAGATAGTAGTTCAAATTACATACCTCAAGTTCATTTTCATCAAAAATACTTAACAAGTTGTCTGGTATAAGTTCATTGAGACCTTTCAAGAAATGTTCAATTTCATCTTTTAGACATGTAGCCAACCTGTACTGGGCCAGTGCATCAAGGTACTGATGTTTCGTATTATTGCGAACACGAATTTTACTGCCTCCAGGCACTAATTCTACAACCTGTAAATAAAGTGCATCAAAATAAAATTTTTCTTGAAATTACGCCAAAAAATTCCAAAATAATGTTTTCAAAAGTATGAAACAAAGAAAACAAAACACTTTACTATCATTTCTATTCATTTTAGAATAGGCTCCTTTGTGCTTTAACTTCATAACAATTAATTAATTAATTAACCCCTTAAAACTTATACCTACAATTCTGAACCAACATGCATCCTCAGTTATTATGTGTCATAAGTTCTTCTTTGAGAAAGCATTTCTTCTTTATGTTTCAGCAAGAGCTATCCCTCTTGTGTAGCAGCACTGGTTCTCAACAATGTAATATTTGTTCTGAATGTGGTTGCTTTGTCACACTATGACCAACCATGGCATTTCAAGAATAGTATACATGTAATAAATCAATAATCATAAATAATACCTAAAACATATATACTGATGTTTCGCTGTCAATCGATGTTTCGGTATCACGAACATGGATACACCATGTCAGCTACACCATGAGTTGGAGGATTTTTTTCCAAATTGAGCAACAGGATTTATTTTCTTTTTCGTTACCAGAAGCTGGCAATAAGATTTTTTCTGGCGAAATTTCGGCGTTTTTTGGCGCACAATTACATAACTTCCTCTTCTTATGAAGAATTCATAAGTCGCAAAAGTAATAATAATTTTGGAACAATTTGGGGATATCTACATTGGTCCCATGGGTTCTCGTTATGATCTACTTAAATTTAATGTTGATGTACTCATTATTTTTGTTAAATTGGTCCATACATACACACAGAAAGGCAAACAATTGATTTGATGGTACATAAGTTTCACAAATCGAACAAGAAATGTGAAAAACTGTTTAAAAGTAGAAAATTCGAAAATTACATACATACACTTCCAGTTTATTAATCTTAATAAATTCTATTTGTGATTAGAATTGTGATAAATAATATTCCCCGACCAAAACTCGACCCAGCAAAATTCCCCTTTGAAGACCTGAGTTCGTACCTGCATATTAGCCACCTCGGCCACCCGGGTAGTACATGAGATTTACACATATTAGTAGTTTTACAAACAGCATATGGTGGTTTCAGTTCTAGCATTAGGAAGACAAAAAATCTAGAAAATACCGTGAGGGGGCTGGGCGGAAAAAAAAGAAGGCATCCAGGAAAAGAATCAGGTACAACCGAAATCGTAGTTCAGACTAAAGAGATTAGAAAACCAACTACTGTGAGAAAGTTTATGACAAGTTCCTGTTCCTCGTATTATTTATCATAAGCTGTTAAATACGAGGAGAAACTTTTCGACTGGATACTTAAATACGAGGAGAAATATTTCATGTGGGTTTTGAGAAAATAATTTTAGAAATAGCATAACTTTTGGACACTAATTAAGCGAAATCAGCTCATTCTTTTCACAAAATTGCACATGGCCTTTTTGAAAGTACTGATTTTTACAACAGACTTTATTTAAAGCAAAATTTGCTCTCTCCATTTTTGTAGTTTTGAAATATTCACTTTCTTCTGGCATTTTCGAAAAAAAGGAGCTATAGACAAAAATAACACTAGCACCATATTTTTTACCGTCCTTTAGTACTAAGTTGCCGATTTTTGCCTATTTCCCAAATTTTTTTCCTTCAGTGGAAAATGCAATTATTTATGGTTACTTATTAATTTTGAGGCATTAGGAGTATTATATGCTAATTTTGTAGTGCCTATATGTGCCTATTTTATGTATAAATGCCTAAATGAAGCCTATTATCGTATTTATTGATTAAAATGAAATTTCTCTTAATCAAAATATTGTTAATGTATGTTTTTCCGCTTTTATCCTGCAGATTACAGAAAAATCAAACAACTATCCATAAATCTATGTTCCAATTTACTGCCACCACAGTGCAGGTATTTTGCATTGTGAAACACATAAAATCGTTGGTGGTAATGTTATTTTTTACTTCGAATTTTTGAACAATTTTTTACTCAAAAATGATTCTAAATATTTGATTAAAATTTTCTCCTTGTATGTATCAAAGGATGGCATAAAACTTGGTGCTGGTTCCATTTTCAGGAAAGTGCAAAAAGTTAACATTGCAAAAGTCAATACTGAGTAGTGCTTTTTGTCTTAAATGAAATATGTTCTAAAAATTCAGATCTTAAAAAAAACAACAAAAAAACACGCATTAAAAAGAGGGGGGAAAGAAAGGAAAAAAGTGGTTTTTGCAGAATCTCTGCTTAAATTTCATACAAATAATAAATATTATTATTATTATTATTATTATTATTATTATTATTATTATTATTATTATTATTATTAGTATTATTATTACTATTATAATTATTACTATTATTATTGTTTTTGTTGTTATTGTTATTGTTGTTGTTATTATTATTAATCAAATTCAAAATTCTGTAATAACAGTGCAGTATCATCAGCAAAGGCTATTTACTCGCCTTCAGCTAAAATTTTGAAGATATCATTTATTGAATAATAAACAGTAATATGCCTAAGATAGTATTCTGAGGAACCCCAATGTACATCTTCACTATATGTCTTATTCACTTGCACAGATTGTTTTCGATCAGACAGGTCACTTTGAAATGAATCATTTATTTTTCCTCTTAATCAACACTTTGACAATTTCTTCAGAAGCAGGTTGTGGTTCTCCATATCAAAAGCTTGAACTAGGTCTAAAAGTATAGTTAAGTATGGGGTTTATTACCTACTGTATTTCTTAATTTATCTTTACAAATATAATTGCATCCTGAGTGGATTCTTTTTTTTTTATTCAATAAAATACAATTTTAAAAATATAATACAAAATACGAGAGACATTGGCAAATGAGCAGTTTTTAAGAAAAAGTTCTTGAAAAATAAATAATACTTTAACTTCTCTACTGTATGAGAATATTACCTTCAGAAGTTGTCCAGAGCGATCATACTCTTCTTCAACAAAGTAAAGTTCCATATCTTCAACATCATGTTCAAGTATGTACTTCACTTTACTCAGGTACAAATCAGGATCATCTTGTTCAAAATACTGAAATTATAAATGATTGATTATAAATAAGTTAGATGAAACTCATCCAGAAAGGAGTCATAACATAAATTCTAATTTATTTACATCATCTTCCAAAAAACTGCAAATGGCCGAAATTTTAAACTCAAGTCATTTATAATCATTAAAAATTAAATTGTATACAATGTAAAATGAGACAAAACTAATTGCTGGGGAAAAATCTTAAATTATTGTAAAATAACAAGTTTAAAGATAGGGAAACACTATATTTCTTTTGCCCTCCACACAAATGCAATGTATGAAAATGCAAAAGAAACAGCAAGAAAATTATCTCAATTTGTCAAAACATCCTTACCTTGTAATGTACTCTCAATCCAATAATTTGGGCCAAAAATGAGCGAGTGAATCTAGCTCGCACTAATTGTCTGTATGATCCACCTAAAGCTGATTCATACAGGCACTTTCCCACCAATCGGCCCGCAAACTCATAATGTTTTAATTTGAGATGAGGAGGTCGATGAGGATTTGGATGCACTAAAGCCTGTTGGCTTTCCGAAAAACCAACAAAGAGGGAATTACGTGCATCAAACAATGCCGAACAAACAAGTTCAAACCATTCTCTTCTAACTCCTCCCCAATCAAGACCTGAAAACACAAACATTTATGAGAGAGCAATAATGCAAAAGAAATTCATGAAGTCGTCTTTACATGTCCTTGAAATTAACAAGTCAAGCAAAAAAAAAAAAAAAAAAAAAAAAAAAAAAAAAAAAAAAAAAAAAAAAAAAAAAAAAAAAAAAGAAGAGAGAGGATAGTAGTAATGTCCAATGTATGATGTATAATTTGTGATGTGCAGTGCATTACATCTACTGAATTGAACTGATGAAGTCTTCCCTTTTTAAAGGCCTATATTTGACTTTCAAGAAGTTTTTAAAATGTTTATTTCAAAGAAGAAAGAATGGAATAAAACATTCCCAATTTCTTCTAAGTTTCTTTTAATCATAAGATCATTATTTTGTAGCTAGAACCATTATTTTTATTCCTAGTTTCCTTTATATTTCCTTGCTTGTTTCTAACTGTTTTATTTTACAATTAAAATGAATGGTCATCATTGATATTTTCAATTTCTTCATCATCCTAAAGAGCAAAAGTGCCTTGTCGCTGCTGCCATTCTGTCTTCCGCTGTCCTTTTCATATCTGCATAGTTTTAGAATTGTAATTGGGTTTGAAGTTGTTCCAAAATTTTTATTTTAGGTCTCCCTCTTCCATTTTCTCCAACTATTTTACATTCCGAAATTGTATTTAAGTGTTCAATATCTTATGCTCAATTTATCTTTTCCAAATCTTACATATCTGAATTAAATTTAATATAATATTAATTCGGATCATCTTCTGGAATTCATTGAGAAGATACTCATTGGTATGTAAAAGTATTATTTTTTTAAAGGAAAATTTACGCTAACTGAATGTGCTCTGAATGATTGAACTCTGTAAATTTCATCAAATAAGTCTTGCAGATAATATCAAGTTGCTGTTTCATGTAATAAAGTTTTTGGGTTTGAAGAAGTTAATAGCACTCTCAGAGCTGATAATTTCTAAAGAAGAAACTAACAGTTATTTGTTTTCCCCCTCTTTCAAAGTTTCAAGAATATTAGACACCCAGAATTATCAGTTACAGAATGATTGATTGATTGATTGTTAGTGATTCTGGGCACGTCAAGTACTAGAGTCATTAGACCCGCAAGTGCAGTGCATGTTTTTGCTGGGTCATTGGCTGTTGTCTTCCACCACTGTATGGCGAGATCCAGCACCGACCTACCGTTGGCTTGCAGGGTTTTCCCCAACCAGGTATCTTCCACCAGCAGGGCATCACTTCCAACATGTGTGGTAGTGTAGTGCATGTTAGTGTAAGTGCGCGTAAGTAAGGGTGTGAGGATAGGACAAGGAAGAGGTAGAAAAGATTACACATGGCCCTTTTGTTAGGGTACTGCTCCGGTTTTCATCTGGTTTTGATTGGGAAAAAAAAAAAAAAAAAAAAAAAAAAAAAAAAAAAAAAAAAAAAAAAACACACACACACACACACACATAAAAAACAACCAATGATAGCAGCTGGACACTAGTATTCTCCTCCAGACAGTGACTAAATTCGATCTAGCTGACAAGCTTGTGTAAAAAATCCTGCCACCGTTGGGACTCGAACTTAGGACCTCCCGGACATAGGGATGTATATATGTATGTAACATCAGTTGATGCCCTGAGCCATCTCTCCCAGTAGTTAAAGAAAGCTTAAACTATGAAATTAATAGTGTCTTCTTGAATAAGCTGAATATTTTATGTTGTTATCTTACCTTGTTCTCCTTGGAATGTAATTTCAAAGTTGCGGCACCAATCACTGACTGAGAAATTTTTTGTTGCTTTTAGGGACTGAAATAATTTGGACCACATGAAAATAAGGACACAAGCACAGAACTGTACTTGTACAAGAATATACATAATACACTATATAACAAACTTTACAACACTGTAAAAGATACTCACACTTTCCAACAATTTTTCTCTTTGAATCTTCATGGGTAATTTTTCATGATAATGCTTTTGATGGTATTTCCGAACTTCATGATAAAAGAAATCTTGTTTATCTTTGAATGTCTCGGAGCCTCCTAAATAAACAAGGTAAGATTAATTTACATTTATCTTTAGGAACTACTTTAGATCTACTTATATAAATGAAGTATTATGTGCTGCAACGTAATCTCACCAATGTTTTTCAAAAGAAAATGTGTGAATGTGGCTGCAATCACATTCCGATCTTTGGCTATTAATTCCACTTTAGGCTGACAACCATCATCCACAATAAATGAAGGTTGATTATACTGGTTATTGTTACTTTGAAAATGAAACTGCAAAAAAGACCAAATATACACAAAATATAAACACAACACAAAATATAATGCACACACACACATATACTGGGGGACCAGAAGCTCCAAAAAAAGAAAAGAAAATTGGGGATTGGAAGTCGCTTCCAGACACAAAATTCAAACAGGTTGTCATCACAGCAGACACTACAGCACTGGGCATTCACTCATTTCTCTTTCTTATCGGTGAAGTAATTGTGAGCGAGGCCTGCATCATGAGCAGCACACTAGAGTACTTAAATATTAACAAGTGTTTTATACATTATATTTAATCGATCTATTAAGTAATGTTGTATGTAGTTAAAATGTAATTTAATTCAAAATAAATACCCTGCTCTAATATGAATAATGTAAATATGAATGCTGAAGACACATGAAAATAAACAAACCTCTTGGGATGCTTGAATTATTAATTTGTGTTTATCTTATCACCTAATGTTATCATTGTTTATCACCTAATGTTATGCAGTTTATTTTTAATAATATGGCATAAAAAAAAGAGTTTTTTGAGCTAGTGTTCATTTTTGAAAACATTTCAGTTCATTCATTGCATTTGGGCAACAGATGAAAATGATGTGTCCAAAAGTTTCATTTTTTACAGACCCAGGCCAATGACATAGCCTACTTTAAATGACATGATGAATGATTGCTCAGATTTGGTAAATGGTAGTTATACCGATTCCCTTTCTGAAATTGTTGACACCTGAAATGGACCCAGACACAATTCTATACGCGGTGCAAGTTGAAATTAAAAGTCGTCTGGCTGGGATGACAAATGCCACGACTTCAGGACCTGATAAGATAAAAGTTAGCCACATATTCTCAGGATCAAAAATTGAAATATTGTCCCTATTGTACATTCAAATTTTATACAGTGGCTTTGTGCCGTCTGGGTGGAAAACTAATTGCACCATAAGAGGGTAAGGATAATACGGTGGTCACTAACTATCGCCCCATCACAATTAGTTCTCTGGTGTGCAGAATCTTTTGGGGCATTATGGGCAAATGCATTCTATCCGTGGTGAAGTTCAATCCACGCCAGAAAGGGTTTATTCCTGACCCTCACTGTTTCGCTAATATTCAAATTATTCATGAAGCAGTCAGTGACATGAAAAAACCAGAGGGTGTGCTAGATATATCCAAAGCATTTGACACTGTTCCTCACGCGGCGATTCGGTGGGCTCTGTCCAGGAAAAAAATCCCTGACGCCTTTACCAATTTGTTAATGGACTCTTACGCCGATGTTTCCACCGTCATTCAGCACCCCTCGAAAGGAATTTTGGTGCCAATTCGAAGAAGCGTAAAACAGGGGGATCCCTTGTCCCCGTTTATTTTTAATCTCATCATGGAGTGCCTACTTGAGAAATTGGATAATATGTCAGGATACACGCTATTGGGAAGGAGTGTGTCCGTGTTAGCATTTGCTGACGATCTGGCGCTGTTAGCAAAAGATGTCCCGGGAGCTCAGGAATTGGTTGATATTGTGGTGGGATATCTTGGGGCCCTCGGAATCACATTGTCCATCGCGAAATGTTCATTTAAAATTACAACTTTTGAACGATCCTGGTTCATTGAAGACCTCTGTCTGGAAAGGTTGGGAGAGAGAATTCCCCTTGTCAGCAATGATCATACTCTTACATACCTGGAAGTGAATTACTCAATCTGGAACGGCTTCCCATCTAAAGCATTCATATCGAATTTAATGGAAGCAGGGTCGAGGCTTCAAAAGGCGCATTTAAAGCCCCTCTCAGAAGTTGGCATTAATTCATACCTACATAATGCCACATTACCTTTATCGATTGGTTCTATCCATGCCATCAATGTCGATGTTCAGGGAAGCAGACGGTCAAATCAGAGTGGCAGTCAAATAGTTCCTACATCTGCATACAAGTACTGCAGACGGCGTATTTTATCTGGCCAAGAGAGATGTATGACTGGGATTGCTGCGGCTCGCCCAACACATTCCTACAGTTGCGCTGAATCTAGGATTACGATTACAAAAATCTGTAGATCCTATTTGCAAATGGTTGAGCTCCTGTCCTAGTTTTTACCAACGGACACTAAAGACCGCAAAATCACTGAGACTCAACTGGCCCTACTCTGAATAAGATTGAAGGGCTTGTAAGAAGAAATGCGCCGATGACGAGGTGGCCAAATGGGAGATGCCGGGATCCCAAGGGAGAGCGGTTTGGGTGCATATAAACGATCCGATTGGAAATGCCTTTTTGAAAGATTATCATCTGAAACGAGGTCTTTTTATCACTGCACACTAATTGTGATCAAATACCGCTGCTAATAAAACTACTCTTAGTAGAGGATGTTAATGCAGGAAGTGCAATACAGCGGTAGAAACCATAATCACATCCTCGGTCAGTGCATTTTTACGAAGCCAGCAAGAATAAAGCACCATGACGAGATCAAAAACTTCATAGAAGAGAAGATGCTCCGGAAATCGGACACAGTGGTGTCCACGGAAGCCACTTTCTCCGTTTCCGAAGGGGTTAGACTCAAACCTGACCTGGTAATAAAAAAGCCGGGAAGGGTTCCACGTGGTCGATGTGAATGTCTGCCACGAGGATGGGTCTAGCCTTTTGAAAGCAGGGGAGGAAAAGGTGGTAAAATACCAACCAGTCATCCCCCTGGCAGCCCAACTTCAAGGAGTACCCAACGCCAGAATCCTGCCAGTGGTGGTTGGAACCTCAATGCCAAGGTCGTCAGTGCCCTCAAGACCCTGGGGATCACGTCTCGAGGCGATCTACTGACTACCTCGTTAATTGCTCTCAGAAGCTCTATTAAACTTTACACACAATTTAGCATTGCTGGTAGTAAATGAAGGAAAGAAACTTCAATATCCTGTGGGGAAGTCTAGGGAACCCATTGGATTCCAAAATGCCTTGGAATTACCCAGTTACCACGACTTTAAGTGGGAAGTGTATGCTATTTAGGGCCGAATTCATAGTCGTCTCATACACTGAGTGTTCCCGTAAGTGGACGAATCGTATTCATAAACAACCCTTGTGTGAAGTCTTAAGTGAGCACTCATTCCTATAAGCAAGGCAGCCTCCTCCCTGAAGTGTCCCTTATGACTCCCTCGCATCGTCAGTCGTAACCAGTTTAGGTTATACTTTTACGCGGCGTTCACCGACTATTGAATTCGTTTTGCTGGTGTTTGTATAGTGTAGACAGTTAAAATCTATGATTTGTGAAACATGTTATGGAAAACGACTTCAATAATTATTTTGAGTTTTATACTCAACACATCCTGCGAAATTCGGAGATATATTAGAGATACGAGCAACCCATTGGAAATGTACTAGAATGATGATTGGAAATGAAATAGAATTATGAACAATTCCGAAAGCGGTTTTGTTTCAATAAAACTACTGTAGTGGATACACTTGTGCCGATGATCGGCAAAAGTCCCAATGACTGAACGAGGATTGCCGATTTTCCCCTTATTAAAATTTCTTGTTGCATGAAGATGTTATGCAACTACATCCTTTCACAAATGTTTCCAAATTTTTTAACTTTTATTCATTTCTGATTTATAAGACCTATTATAAGTAATAATGAATTTCGCAATATGAATTTAAATTGTTGTAAAATGGAATTTATGTTGATGCTATAAGGGGTTGACATTTTCAATTACATGCAATGTTAATCCATTACCAATATTGGCAGACTTATGTTCATACCATGTTACCATTACACCACCTTATGTTTATTAGTTATACTAGAGAATAAGTTAACGTTGAGGAATCAATTGAAACTGATGTTAAGTATTATATTACAATCCAATAATGCACATAAATAATGTGTAGAAAATGCACAAGACATTGCAGAGGTTCATGGATTACATTTTTTACCGAACATTTCTTATTATTAGGGTTTTGCAATAAATAAATTTTAAAAATATGAACATGGTACCAGTGACAAATAGTCATTGACATTATATGAGAATCATAGATTATATTGTTACAAATCTGCTTGTTATTAGTGATTGGTAGTTATAACATTAGTAAAATATACCAATATCAAAACAATTGGTTTTGTCTGTATGAGGACATATTAGAGGTAGTAGAAGTATTTCGTTGTGCGCGCGACGTCAACTCTACGTTGGAGTGTCCGTCCCCTGTTAAATTTGACGCTCTTTGTACAAGATGAAGTGCGTATGTAAACTCGGTTGCCAAGAACTTCGAAACAATTACCGCCTATGCCATATTGCCACATTTACCTTCCGCTTTAGGGAACACTCATTCCGCGGTCGTAAGGAACGTGTGTGAAATACGAGCGCCTATAAGTGAACACTTATTTTGAGAAAGCACGTATCACTTAAGGGTTCGCTTACCCTATAAGTAACGGCTATGAATTCGGCCCTTAATGTAGCATATAGAAAATGGTGTAGTCAGAATCCATGTTTTGTGGGTCCTTGATAACGAAAAATCGATTGTCGGCAATACCTGCGAGCCTGTCCGTCCGTCAGTATTCAAAGCGAGCGCCTAAATCGTTCAGCCGATTTTCTCCAAAATTAATATTCCTCGATCGATTTTAAGGGACTTGAGTTTTGAACGCGAGTTTGAAACAGGTATTTTGATTTTGGGGATGCTTTGCATGAAGCCACAATGACATTTTCGACATTTTCTCAAAAATGGCTCTAAATTATTTGACTAAATTTGATTATTGGATATCGGAAAGGACGCTTAAGAGAATGGTGCAGATCTTGTGTGTTCGTTGAAATCCGTGAGTTTTCGAAAATTGCAAACGTTCAATTTTTTCGGCGTTTTCCTACAACTACAATATTGAAGATAGAGAATTTTTCCTTCATAAAATCTGTCATAAAAAGTCAGATCTTGAAATAACATCATGTACAATCTTTCAAAATTATGAGTTGTCGCGTCCTTTTGCGTGATTTTTAAAGACTTTTTTTTCTCGCAAAATATTATCGACATGGAAGGAGTTTTCTAAATATGTACGTAGAAGAAAGGGAATAAAGAGGACATACCAGTTGTTAGTGAAAATTGTAACACGATGGTTACCGAAGATAGTGCAACGGCTAATTGAAGTTAATACGTATTTCAAAAATAACTCCCAGAAGAGGAAAACGACTTACTCGAACGGACTCCGGTGAAGGGAAAGAAGAAAAAAGGATACGATCAGTAGACGTAGAAAGGAAACGTTTTCCAAAGGCAGGAAAAAACAAAAACAAACAACTGAAACCGATGTAAGACAAGACAAGAAAAATAAAAAGTGCAGCAAACCGAGAGTAAACGCGGCAGACCGGTCCAGACATATGCCGAAAAGACACGCCGAGGTTCTAGGGGATAGCAACAAGACGATCAATCCCGACGACAGACAAGCGGAGAGCGGATCCGTCAGAAAGACGAGGGCCGGCGATTTGCTCATCGTACCGAGCGCGAGGGTGAAGGACACACAAGACTTCGGCATGTTCTGAAACAGACGCTGTGGGAAGCTGGTAGTGTCCGGCAAGTGACGCCACGAGTGACACACGATAAACAGGATCTGGACGCCTACATTGACCAGGTTCGATAGTCTCTCTAGGCAGTTAGAAGTTCTGCCAGATGTGAAGATCATGATGCTCAGCCCAAACAACCAGAGCAAGAGATTGCCGTGACTGTATAGAAAGCGAGGCGAACATTTTTTTCCAAAAATCGAAACTCCGAAAGAGGTGGGTAAATTGTCGAGTAAGACGGCGCACCGTCATAGTTCGGTGCTGCAGATGCTTAGATACAAGCAGCATACAAGGACTGTACAGGTCCGCGGAGAAGTCTGAATGTGTTTTATATTCGGACGAAGGTCTCGCACAAGACTGGAGCACATTCCGGGCTTCGAAATATGTCAACTTTAGACAGCTTTAAAAACAACCAGATGATACAAATTTTGTAGGCAAATATGAGCACGAACCGAACAGCTGACAATTTAGCAAGAGATCGCATCGATCATTAACGAGCCATACAGAAATAGAATGAATCGAGTGATCGGCTATGAAGGTCATTGACACTGCTAACCCGGTAGAAAAGCACGGTCATGAAAGTGGCTTCGTGTGGATAAAAAGTAGGGCAATCACTTTTGTGAGCTAACAGACCCTCAATGAAGGGAGAGACGATTTCCGCAGGAAAATTGACGATCATGAAGTTATGATCCGATGGAACCACCCTGGCAGCCGGAGACTTCAACGCAAGAGCACTGAAGTAAGACACGTCGTCGTCAAACACGAGGGAGGTATTTATTGGAGATGGCGTCCAGACAAGACCTGATAGTTCTGAACGATGGGTCAACGTTCACATTCCGACGGCCCGACACACTTTCAGAAAATTCAGAGAGTTCAATGAAAATGAGGCCTACGTTATTCTTTTAAGCGTCCCTTTTTCTATCAGTGGAAAAACAATTTGGAGCGGTTTTTTGAGATTTTTTTATAAATTGGAATTAATTTCAGGCAGAAGTTACGCGAGAACTACTCATTTCTTCAAAAATTGTATCTGACATTTTTTAAAGAACTGATTATCTACAACAGACCTTGTCGAGGTGGCGAAATACTCGAAGAAAAAGTTGGGAGAGCAATGAATAGAAGCTGCAACAAAGCAACGCCTCTTCTATCAGTAATTTTTTGTCAGACAGGAGTGTTCTGGAAAAGAGAGGACACACAATTGAAAAAGATTGTGACTTGGAGAAAGAATTAACTGGTATTGAAGAAATTGTCAGTTACCTCTGCCTAAACGAAATTAAACATTTCTTTACGAATTTCGTCGTTTTTACTTCATATTACAACTGCATCCAGTGTCAGGCACACCCTGAAACGAACCTTGAAGGCGTTCAAAACGTTTTTACTAAGCTTTCTGCATCTCGCCTCTAATGACAATGCGAGCTGGCGTCTGCGGTAGAAATCGGAGAGTTCCCCGTATTTTGACAATGGCAATTTTACGCGGGGCTGCCCAGGAGCTGATGCGATCTTTCGGTGACGCTCCGAACGAACTGGAAGCAGCTGACAATCTACGTCAAGGAACTTTGTACGAAATAAATGAGGTCTACTAAGAAGAAATTCGCGCGGCCTTTTGAGAAAAATTTTCCGAAGCGCCAAATTTGAAATGAATAATCCTTTCTTCTGAAACGCCTTCAAAGAACATCAAAAATGCCCTATTAAAAACAAGGCGCCAAATTTGAAGCAATTTGGCGGTCAATGTGCCAACAGACCTTGTCTAAGGCAAAAATCCCAATCGTCAATTTTGTAGTTTTGAAATGTTAACGTTTTGCAATTTTCGAGTTTACAGAAAATGAGACTGACACCAAATTTATATCGCACCTTGATACATACGAAGAAAAAATTTAAAAAATTGGAACGGTTTTTTAAAAAGAAATTGTTTAAAAAAAATTAAAATTGCCATTAAGAAATTTTGTGTCGAAAATTCGTCGTTTCCCGGTTCACAATTACAATACTTTCTCTTCTTCCATTCGTAAGGGCGAGAAAGTAGCAAGATAGACCAGCGAAATTTTGTAGAAAAACCGCAGAACAGATCAGCGAGAATACCTCAATGCTATACTGAGTATCGGCACTAAAGGACTCTTGCGCGAAATAGAATGTTTTAAGACATAACCCCGGAAAAAGAGGCAAGCGGTTTACTAATGGACTGAGGAGATAACGAAACTGAGAAAAAACAGCTTTAAGCTCTGACGAAGGGACCAGAGATCTCGAGAGCCGGCGTCGCTAGTCAAATTCCGTAACTGCGCGCCGTGAAATCACGGAGGTTACACAATTCGAGACATGGCTGGTTGCTGGTTGGGTGAGCGTCCGGAGGACCCTGGGATCTAACGGCGTCGAGCCCCTGGCCGAACGGATAAAAGGCAATGACTAACTAGATTAAAAGAAGATTACTACAAACGTTCCACGCCTATTGATTATACCCACTAGCTAGTGGCTGTAATACAAGTATAACGTTGTTAAGAAATGTAACAGAAATAAAATTTACAAAATGTAACACACCCGAAGCAGCGCTGCCGTCCGCCCATCACAAGGAGGCGAAAATGATTAGAAGAGCTATCACCAAGAGCAATTCCCAATTCTTGACGGCTCTTATTGGCAAAGAACCACAGGGACACGTCTACCAGATAGTGATCTCAATGCTAAGAAGGAAACCACGCTACCCTATTGAGGACGCATCGTTCTGCAGACACTCGTAAGACCACCAAGCAAGCCGAAGATACTGACGACATCCCGCAATCGAAGAACGAGAACTCAGAGCTTGCAGTTTGCAGCAAAACAGCTGGGAACCGTTGTAGGTAGGCGACAGGAGAACCACCACTCCCGCAAACAAGTGTTGTTAGCCACACCAGTTGTGCGCAACGCTTTCAACTCGGTGACGACGTGGGGGGACATCCTGCTGGCCTAGGAGAAAAAAAATAATGCGAAACTACATTACATCCTACGACCAGGTGAGCAGTCGCTCGCTACTCGTCAAATACCGAACGTGTGGAGCCGCCTTTCGATATCCAAACACCTTTGATGAACGTAAAAGACGGGTGACAGATAAAGCTTCACAAACGACAGGGGTTCTGCGCAAGCTTGCGGCAAACGTCGGAGAGCCAAATCTAGACGTTCGTGTTGTTCGAATAAGAGATATGGACAGATGCACTCGCAAGATAATCTCTCAGATGGCGCTGGAGTGCAGTACAGAGGAAGAAGCACTGAGAGTTCATCAACTGAAAGACGACATCCCTTGAGACCACAAAAAAATTTTATATTCTATTTATTTTAATACAGGATAATCAATGAAATTGTATTTTTTGTAGTGTAATCAATAAAAAATATACTTGCTTACTGAGTTTCAAATTTTCAGAGGTCATTGTCTTACAATTAATAAAGTTGTTCAGTTGATGAAGAATTGAAAAGACAATCATTACAATATATGCTTATGCATGAGAGTTGCTTGCTCCCACAGACTCATTTCCGAATCCACAGGGGTGGTGGTGGTGGTGGTGGTGGTGGTGGTGCTGTTGGTGGCGACTGAAGTCACACCGAACCACCTCCTTGCCCAGGACAAGAAAGTCATCTACCACACGAAGACTGAACAGTGACGTCTCCCTACCACAGTTCTTCACTGGACACTTTGGAAATATCTTCACTGGATCATTTAATAGTATGCAAAAGCAAGAAATAGTGTACTTCCACACACAAGTAGACAATGCCAAACACACTTTTTTCTGATGTGAGTGATGGATAAGTGCAGAAAGTTGTTTGAACTACCAGGGCAATAATTCTTGACAGCATCATTGAGATAATGCTATTGCACTAAGGCGACAGAAAAATTCCTGCTTTTTAGCTTACAGTAGGGAGAAAATGAAGCAGTACGATCATGAGAAAAGTCCTCTGAGGGCATAAGACAAAATGCCATTCCAAAGTAATGCAAAAGCAGTTCCACAATGGATTCTATGGAATAAGATGAGAGTCTCACACTATTCAGAAGTGTGATCCCTCTTGAATGTTCAGTAGAATTTCTACAGTTTCTCTAGTAAACATTTAAAAAAAATTGTTTTTTTTGTTGTTGTCGTAATTAATTGTCATTGGGTTATACCTTTTTGCAGATTAAATAAATCTTATATTATGTTATTTTAGTAGCAGTATACTGTATTCACTGGGAAGGGTAGACCTTCACCACCATCCACTTACATTACAACATATGAGTAAATGCAAGTTAAGTAGGGTTCATTTGTCAACCTAAGAGACATTAATCTAAAATATCTTCCTTTTACACTTTAGTTTCATTCTCCTACTGAATTTTAGCTTCTATGCACAACTTCAAGCAGGAAACAATTGCATTTCTTCAATTTGATTTAAGAAGTAAAAGTATTATGAAATTGTGAACTTAAACAGCAATAAAATATCTGAAAACAGTCTGAAAACATATCTGAAAACTTACAGGAAAAAGAACTGAATTATCTTAAATATCATATATTTTTACACATTTTTACCTTTGTGGAAGGGCACAAGCGGAAGGTTACAAGTCTCTTTGGAATAAATTTGAGCAGGAACTCCTTGACAGTTAACTGTTTAGGAGACACATAACAAAATACTTTCTTGGGTTTAGTAAGCCGTTCACCCTGCACACTCACAAGACGTGCTTCGTAACATATATTATGGTTTTTGGACGCCACATTTTTCTGGACTAGAGCAGCGTCGCTCCCTGGAATGAAATCATTTAATAGCATGTGAACTATGGTATTTTCAAGTTAGATTTAAAAGAAAATATCCTTACCACTTAAAACAATGATATCAAAGTCACCATTATGCAATTCCACACCACGGTATGACACAGTTGCATGATAACACCCCTCTGATGAAAAGCGAACTTGTAAACTAATACGATGAGATGATTGGTCATAGTCGAAAGCTACTCCACAGGGAACAGAATCCAGGCATCCAATCTGGAGACACAACAAAATTAAGTAAAACAATGTCCAGAAACATTATGGAGTAACCATTAGAATTAATGAATAACAAAAATGTTGAATTCATTGAAAGTAGTTTCTAATACAATGTCATTCTACATATTCTTCTACACACTTGTTCATGCCTATCACTGAAAGCAAAAGTAAACAGTGTACTATAAACAAAATAGAGAAGAGCATATACTGTCAACAATCTCCAGAAGACAAATAAATACAAATATAACTGAACAAGGTCATTATAAATATCCAAGGTCTGCACATGCAGCATTATCTACAATGGAAAGTCAGCAAATCAAAATGCATCTCAGCCAGTAGCACATTCGGCAAACATACAAATGAAAGCAAAATGAGATAAAAAGAGTTGATTAGACTATGCATTATAATATTTTCTTTTAATAATAAATCTTTGCATACATATACAATACATCAATTTTACTCTTTACTCTTACAAATCTACAAACAATTTTATTCATTGGCAATATATTTCAATACTTATTTTCACAGTTCTATAGTAATTTGATCAATAAATCCTCATGTACAAACTCATAAAAAATCATTTACATGCTATCAACTTATTTACAAAAGGTGTTTTTCTTACGGATGTACATGCTAATGTGCCTGTTTAAATAAAGAAGTATTATTTAACATACATTCCACCTCTCACTCAAAAACATTACCAAAAAATTTAATACAAAATTGAATGTATTCAAAGATTTGTAATAACCAAATTGCATTTAGCTGCCCAAAAAGCAAAGAAACTTCTTCTGAGCAAAGCAGATGAAAACCTTGACACTTTCACTGTTAGTACTATCCAGAAATTGAAACATCCTTATTTATTTTATAAGAATTTGCATGTACATATTGAATACACACATTTAGAATACATTTTCAATACTATGAGTATTATTAATCTTTACAAAAAAAACTATTTTCTTTGTTAAATTAATGAGAATTGTATTGTTGTGAAAAACTATATTGCAATTACAAATAAATCTTAATTGGTTTAAAATTTACACAAATTATGATTCATTTATCAAATGAGATTTACAACAATAACAATACTCGATTTATTTTAAATAGGTATTTATGTGATTTGCAGCCTTTTCATCATTCTTGAAAATTTTAAGAATAATTCTTTGAGAAGTTCTTTCTTTATTTATATTTCAAGCATACACATGGCATTAAAAATGGTCTCACTATGAAAAATTTGGGACAAAAAGCAATCAAAATAGGTGATAAAACTGGGTAAAATACACCTGAGTCATGAGCCTTCCTTTAAATAGTCGAGAGCCTTCTCTGGCTAATGATATTACCTTGTAATTTCTTTTCCTGACCAATAATTTGCACTTGCATTGGGGTAGACATTCTTTAAGAATATTTTTTTCAGAGCAGTTGAACTTCAAACATTACAGTACAGTTCTTAAACTTGTAACATGTGCAAATGTAAGTCACAAAAATGCATAAGATCAGTCAAGAGGTCAGTTTGAAAGTTTCTGTGGCAGTATTAGAACTAAAAGAAAAACAAATGTATTAATAACATAATTAACTTTTATATCAACAGTAAGTCAGTCAAATTAAAGGAGAGGCATATGTATTACTCCTTACTCCACATTACTCCTTATTCCTGATTTCCAAAACCTCTTAAGATGTAAGTCTCTATCTAAGATCACTTAAAGAGGATCTTCTGTCGATCAAGACATTTCAATTATGTGATCTATTTTTATTTTACAGAAGCCTAATATGTGAAGTTGATACTCGGACTTCACAGTGTCATGCCAGTACCCGGAGAACACCAATCGGTGTGGGTCAAACCCAGACCCCACAATAAATTGCAATATGCACTCGACTCCGGTTATAGTGAAATTTAATGACTAATATTTTTGTGTGACTTTATTCAATATTGTCAAAATTAAATAGAATTTCTCCATAACAATTGATTTTATTAATATAGAGCAAAGTACATTAACAGCATGATGTGAAAATTTCAATATCTTTATTTGTCCTGAAAAATAAATTGTTTTCAATTGTTTACTTCTTACTTTTTCATTAGTAATTTTTCCAGAGTTTGTGCTCTCTTCATGCTTGAGTCTGCATTGTTCTCTGTGTCAAAGTATCGTAATGCAGTCTCAATACCCTTCAATGCCTCTTGCACTGTTGGAACACCATCCCACTCTCCGAAGGCCCTTTTACTAGCCTAATAACATACGAGATGCTTTTGGTAGCAGGATGGAGCAAGCAGGTAATGAAACTGATAGCTTTTCTGTGTGGCATCGTGAATATCACCAGGCTGTCAGTTACAAGCTTCTCGTCACCTACATAGAACTCAACGTGCTTATCTTGCAAAATATCAAGTAACATGAAGACTGAAACTGAAGCAAGCAATCACACGTCACCGCTGCCAATTATAGCCCACGCAGGACACGGCCTTTGTTAGCACAGTGAAACTGAGTGTCATAAGGTCACTACCATCGGTGGCCGGGTCTGCTACGTTTGCTCTTTGATTACGACCTTTGACAAATTATATTTTCTTCAAGCTGCCTAGATTAGGGATTTGTGGCACTGAGAGGTTATATTATTTTCCAGTATGGAATTAATTTCCAACACGTTGTATTTCTTACATTCACTATAGCCGAGGTTCAGGTTCACTATAACCGAATCTTCTTATGCTTATTTGTAATGCAAGTGAAATGGAACCAGTGACATAAGTTCACTATAACTGGAGTTGACTGTAATTGGAAGAGAAACTGCAACTCATTACCTTCCAAAGATACAGGAAACAAACTATGCAGGGTTCCATTGTTGACCTCTTTCCATTGGTATGTGATAGTTAAAATTCAACAAGTTTCAAAACATGAAGAAAGTGACAAACAATAAAAATAATTAACAAACAATTAGTTTTATTATATCAATAATATGCTAATATTAACATTAAAAATAAACTTACAATAAATTAAGAAACCATTAAAGAAGGCAGGGGAAATAGGCCTACTCATGAAATATTTGAAAACAGGTAAAAATGTTTCAAAAACAATTTTTGTAAACAAAAATGGTACAAAAAATATTTAAGTATACCATTGAGAACAAAACAGAAAACAAAAAGTATTCAAGACTCAGAAGATGGTACAGTAATATACAATGGAATGACACACAACCAAAAGTGAAAATTATTTAGAAACAAATTGAAAACCACACCGTACGAACAACCAAGAGTAAGATTAGAGGTAATCAAACATTCATGTACATGTATTTGTAAAAATCTATAATCAACTATCATTTTCTAATGAACATGGAAAGAACTCGTAGACTTCTTTGAAAATGTAAACAATGAATATGATTGTAGCTGATCTCGTCGCTTCTTACACGCTAACAGAGATCAAAGATATAAATAATACATAAAAAAATATATTTGTATATATTTTTGCTCCAGCAAACATAGGGAAGAATAGAGAATATAAAAAAGTGAGTTTGTGCACCATATATGTAAAAAGTGAAACTTTTACAGGAACTGGAATAGGAAATTTGCAGGTTAAAGAATTGATTGCATGATACCTTTCACAACACTACTTTGGACTCACTAAATGTATTCATCATTATAAATAATCTTTAAGAGAGGGAGAAAAGAAAAAAGAAAAAAAGGAAAGAAAAAATATCCCCAATCCTCTTGGCTCATAAGAAACGTATCGAGTTGTGATTATCACATTTGTGTGGGTCTTGCCAAGATATATACAAAAGGTAATGAACACCTTTCTTCTCTGAGATGTAGAAAATAAAGAGTTGCACCTTTTGGTAAGCTCCTAAGACTCAATGAGTACACTTACACTACTTCAAGGAAAGAATTTTGTCATCAAAAACATGATTCTACATTCACAGATTTCATAATGACATTGCCACAGTAGAATAGATAAAAGGTGAACCCCATACATGGTAATGGATGAAAGATGTACTTTCCTTATTCCATCAAAATCATGAATTATCTTTCAAAAGCATTGTCCAAATTGAGACTTGGCCTGACATGACATACTTGTAGTAAGGTTGGAGTGTTTCCAGATCACATGCAATGGAGACCTATTGACTGGAAATAAGAATGGGCATTTGGGGGGGAAGACTTTTGTTTGAAATAAAGGGCTCCCATGGATCCACTGCCCCACGCCTCCTGACTTCTCTGGACGCCCCTGGTGTTGCAACATAAAAAGCCCGTTTTGTACAGGAGAGCGCAATTTAATTTCCCTGCAACTACAACCATGAATGGATGAAAAGTAACATCCACTTGCATGTTACATCAAAAAACTGTTTATTTCTCCTGTTTTTTTATTTATCAAAATGTATTTTATAAAACTCAGATTTTTGACCAACATTATGCCATACAAATAAATAGTGATCTCCATCCATGAAATAACAATGTACCAACTACCAAGTGGCAATTGGTATAAGGCAGAGATAACGGCTTAAATCACATTTTTTTTAAAACTGTTTTTTTAGACTGATTTACATTAAAAACTCAATTTTTGCTTTTCTTTGTTACAATAGTATTCCAAAAACGCGACAATGAATTAATGAATACTGCATACAAAAAATTTAAATAATAATTTACTAGGAGAAATGAACTCTGGAAGAAATGGTGAAAACAATCAAAAGCACAACCAGGCAACAACTTTTGCATGAATGCAATGGCCGAGAAATGTTTGAAAAGACACAGAAGAAGAGGAATGGTACACAAGGTTTTAGTCATGCTTGTAAATACATTTATTATTCAGATATATCAAGAAGTCTGAATAAGATTACCAAAGACTGACTTAATACTCTCAAACTTTAATTACTTTTAACAGATTATTTTGCAACCATTGTTTTTCTTTTCAAAACCTAATGATTCAACTCGCTCCTTTCAAACTCTTGACTTTAAGAATAAAAGAATTTGTGTCACATTACCTCTTCCATGTAGCAGCATTATCAGTGGTGTTAGTTTTTATCACCAGTGACGAGGGGTGGCAATTTTGCACGGTCATCACTAGACGTGCCCAGTGCCTTTCAGAAGTGACTGGTCCCAACTGCAAAAAATCTATGGCTCAATTTGCTTGAAAAATGGTATGCAAGGGTTCCAGAGGTTGCTAATTAAGAAAGAAACTACAGTCAACTCCGGTTATAGTGAACTGGGAACTAACATTTTTGGTTCACTATATTTGAGATTCACAATTTGAGGTGTCTATGTATTGTAATGCAGTTTTGACACACTTCAATGCTCCTTGCACTGTTGGAACACTGTCCCATTCTCCGAAGTCCCTTTTACTCGCCTAATAACATACGAGATGCTTTTGGTAGAGGCATGGTGCAATCGGCTAATGAAACCGATCGCTTTTCTGCAAAGCACAGTAAATAATGCAAGGCTGTGGCGGTGGAAGTTGCATGTTTCCTATCGCCTACATAGAACTCAACGCACTTTGTCCCGCAAAATATCAAGTAATACCAAGATTGAAACTTAAGCAAGCAATCGCACGTCCCTGGTGTCAGTTGTAATCCATGCAGGACATGACCTGAGTGGCATATGGTCATCAGTAAGGTCCCCATTCCAGGTCCACTACCCTTACCACAGGAAAGACATCTTTGATTATGGTCTATGGCTGATGATATTTTTTTCGAGTTACCTAGTGTTAGAATTCATGGCACTGAGGTGATATATTCTTTTCCAGGAGGGAATTGATTTCCAAGATGTATTTCCTACATTTACTACAGCCAAGGTTCCGGTTCACTATAACCGAATCTTCTTATACTTTTAAGTAACTACTGTAAGTGAAATGGGAACACTGACTTAAGTTCACTATAACCGATGGTTCATTATATCTGAGTGCACTATAACCAGAGTAGACAGTACATATTTTCAAGAAAATCAAGCCAAACTATCATATTTTAGCTGGGTTTTCGGTAGTTGGTGACCAGTGTGCATTGCTTCAGAATGACACTGGGCAGGTCTAGTGAAGACCGAGCAAACCTGCTACACCTCACCATTGACCATAATTATTATTGATCTTATGGCCAAGTCTAAAGAGAACAGATAAATCATAAGATACAGAATGGATGTAGTTTTATACAGAATTGTATATTTTTGATGTTGTTTTTGATTTTCAATTTAGCTTTTAACGTTGCATTATTCAAATAATATTGAAAACATTATTCTTAATGAAATGAAAATTAAATGAAAAGAACGCTCCAAATTCTATTTTGAACAAAAGAAGAGGAATTTTGGACCTACATTCAAAGTATACATCAATTGTTGCACATTGAAAGAATTTGGTAAAGCTGCAGAGGGAACTGAAATGGAATTTAAAATGAAACCATGACACTGAAGACGGTACACTATACTACTAACTATACTACATGATATATAAAACTTATGCTACTAAAACAATTTCAATTATTTACTAATTTGGGAAACTATTTACATTCAACAGTTTGAATCTTAAATGCTAAAGAATACCAAAAGAAAATCAATTAAGTTAATGAAATAAAAATTCACTTTGTCATTTAGAAGGAACAGGCTAATATTAATATTGTTTATATTTTGTACTACTTTTGATGCTTGTTGTGTTTCTCAATATCCCAAAAATGTAAATCATTGTATGTATGAAATTGATTAGTCACTAATTATGTAGTTGATGTAAATATAACTTAATAATAAATAATTTTAAACAAAATTTGAAACTTGTTTTAATTTGAATTTTGAAATTTGTAAGAAAGGCATTCTTGAATGTTTTTATCAGTAAAAACTAAACTCCTTTTTACATTGTTAGTTTCCAAATTCTTCAGAGTGACCTTTGTATCAGTTGTTTAGTTGAAGATCATTTATTTCTCAATTTTAATTATTATATGAGAAAAAATACTTTTTCTACACAAAAATTTACTTTAAAATTCCCAAAGTTTGTTTAGTATCCCCTTGAAGATGTAAACTTATATTTATTTTATTCTTTGGTAATTTAAAAATGTTCAGAAAAAATTAATGAAGATTATATTAAAATTACAAATATTACTAATTCCATTTACAAGTTGGATTTTTAAAATCATAGTTTTATTTGATTTTCAGCTATAAGATTTATTACAAAGATAGTTTTTTATGAATCATTGTTTTGCTGAATGCTTTGTTTAAGTTTTAATCGGCTATGTATTCTTCTTCTTCTTCTTTTATTTATTTTTTTAAATTTATTATTATTATTATTGCTATTATTATTATTATTATTATTATTATTATTATTATTATTATTATTATTCACATGTACTTCATTTGACTAGACTCCATTCAATGCAATATACATTCAATAAATTATTTCGTTACTGTTTCACATATGAAACAAAGTTTGTTTATGCTCAATAAAGAAAGAAGAATCTCTACAAGGGCCACTGCTATTGTGAAGCATCTAAAATTTGTCATTCATTTTCTCTGAATTACTTTTGAACCTTTTAATATTTTCTAAATTTCAAACAAGCAAATTTCCATCTCATCTACCATTCAATTTTACAATAAGAAATGGGAATATTCTCAATTATGAAGCAATACACATATACATAATATGTACATACACATAATATGTACTATGAAGTTATTAATCCAAAAACTAATTAATAGAGGAAACTTTCAACAGATACCTCTTACAACATATATCCTATTTCATGCATCATACTACGTCAAAGTAAGTTATTACTATTACCACAAACAGTGATATGAAGATTCAGGTAAAAGAAGTGATGTTATAGTCAACGAAATTTGAGTGACTTGCTAGTTATTGCGGGCCAGTGATGGCTTTGCCATCATCACAAAGAAAAGCCATAAAAAAACCAGCTATTGCTAATATAAACTTTGCTAAAAAAGATGATATCAATTCTTTTATATGAACTTTCCCAAGTCAACAGTACTTCATTGAAATTTCCACAGCATCAAGTTTCATATTACTGAGAAAGGATAATAGCAATTTAAGCTATCTTAAAGGTACATCCTAATGAACTCTCATATATCTCTAGCAGTACGGTACGTATTCCACAATTTATTGTAATCATATTTACATCATGCACACTGGAAACAACTTCATAACATATATAATATATACTATGTAAGAATGCATAATATATCAAGTCACACTTTTGTCATTATACAGGCATATGGAGAAAGAGCTCATCTACAGAGATCAACAAAGATAGACAAAAAGTAGATAAAATACAAAACTATAGAAATCATCTAGGTATTCCAATCGTTTTGAAATGGTGAACCCCAAGCGCTTAAATTTAGAGGAATAAGATCCTCTTTTACTGTCTGCTCTAAAATATTACAAAGATCTACAAAACAATATCTGAAGTATTGCATTAAATAAGAAAATGCAATGCATACCCATAATTTTAAACCAAAAAGAAACATTGACAAGAAATAATATGTGAACAGAACATGAACATTTATTACAAGGTTTGTTTCCAATTATACTTCAATTTTCTTAATGTAATAACATAATGCAGTTTGCCTGAATGAAACTATTCTTCATAAGACAGGATGGAGAAAATTTATTTTATTTTCTGTAATATATTTTTAAAGCAGAAAAGAGAAACAAAGGAGCCTGACAGAAAAAGAGTAAGGCTCCTTACAAGCATCTGAATTGTATCTTGTTTATAAACAATTACCATAGTTACTAATTGTACATTTCAAATTAATTATCTATTACTAAGATATTGTTTACTACTTACTACTCTAAACTAAATTTAATTTAGGGGAACTTTGCTCATTTTTAACCTTACAACAATTTCAGTAAATACTCAAGCTAAGGATGTCAAAAATTCCAAGATTTTAAAAACTGGGGAAACTACTCAATATTTTTGCAAAGATACTATCATAGTTCTTAGAAACAAATCAAAAACAACAAAAACAGGTTTATTAGTAACTAAGGGAAACTAATAAGCAAAATACATAATAAGTAATCATGTTGGAGTAGAGATTGTCTTCTAGTGATTCACTGATTTCTTAAAAAACAATTAATAAATTAATAATTGAAGTAAAAAATATCCCTTTACAAATATATCAACTGCAATATTTAAATAACTAATATTTATACTAGTTCATGTTCAATGTAAAGAAAAGTTATGAATTATAAAGTAATTTAGAAGTATATTCTGAGTTCATCAATTATAATATTATTCAAAATGCTATGTATTAATAACAGTGGTCACAATATCTCCCAGATAGGTATCTAAAGTTGCATTCGTCAGACTGTCTGAACCCAGATCATACACAAGAACAAACCATCTCGTATAAAATGTCTAAGAGCAAGATCCGCACGCTAGACTTAACAAGCAGCTCTATGCTATCACTTCATATATGAAAAGCATGAAGCTGGTCTCCAGAAGATCAAAAGTTTCTAAAAGAGCAAATGAGCAGCCATACCTGTCTCACCACAGCCAGATAACACTGTAAATGGACACAGTACATACAAATAGAGAAGATTTACAACTTTATAAACAAAATAAATTAATTAACAAGTAGAACAGCTGTAAAATAAAGAAATAAATTCGAGTCAAATACTTTTGAAAATTTACACCGGCAGAGCTATAGGTGAAATTTCAAGAAAATTTGTGCAAAATAAGACAGTCTGTCATTTTGTACCAATCAACAATCTGTTACAATGAGGAACTTTGTTTCATGTGAACAAATACTGTGTGCACTATAGAAACCAAAAAACAAAAGAAGTGAATTCACAAGATTTAAACACAATTTGAAGCCAGATGGGCTGAAAATGAGAAAAAATGAAACAAGATAATGCTTATTTTTTACAGAAGGTATCCTCAAATAATTAACAAATACAATTCATCAGCATACACACAACATGTAAATATACACACATAACATGATAAGTAATGATACTAACTGGGGAACCAAGCAGATTTAATGCACACACGTACAACAATAGTAGCTGGTGAAAGCACACTCATTGTTTATGGTCATGAAAACCTAATTAAACACAGCGAAATTCATCAAGGCAAAAATACAGAATGCACAGAAAACTGCTGACTACGCAGGCAAGCACAATGCCCTTGACCTGTTCACGAGAGGCCACCCACATGGCAGATGTACATTAAAATAACACCCCATGATCTTATTTAGCTTATTGAAAATTTAAATTGACAACAGATAATGATTGTAGATGTCACCGAATGTTAAACATACAACATAATTTAAGCTACAAATAAAATCTTAGTGAAACATTTAGTGATTCATCTTAGTGATACACATGAATATCTTTTTTGTGCATAAACAATCTACCCTCTTAGAGTTCCATTCATTTTCATAAATATGTGAACCAATCAGGGCAATCATACCTTTGGCCACATAAGGAAAGGAAGGCACACTGATGTGCAGGACTGAACGTGCTGAGCTAAACAAAAACAGCTGGGGACACCAGGGGCCATAAATGAGCTACTTACGAGATGTGTGAATGCTCACCTGTGTCACAGACATGGTGTAGCCTTGGGTGGGATCATCTTCGGGTTTAAACTGGCACAAGTTGTTAAATTCATCTCTGGGTTCTATGGTAAGGGAATGAGGAATCCCTGCAGTGCAAACCACAGTTGAGCTGTGGCGTACAAACACTGTCTTATTCGGGTCAGGTGGACCTACACACACACAAAAAAAAAAAGAACATGTTTATTTCAACATTGTAGAGTATGCACAATAATGATATAAAATTAATGAAAATTCTTTCAAGAAATAATAAAAGAGAATGAAGTCGTAGGCTTCCGCGGCGAGAGTCATGAGCGTGATCTTGGCTGTCCGTTCGACCATCTTGTCGTGGTCTTCCTCAGGGCTGGTATGCGGATACCAGCCCTGAGGAAGACCACGACAAGATGGTCGAAACGTCGGCAACACAGCCTTCGACCCGGCGTCACCTGGACAGCCAAGATCACGCACAATAAAATAGAATGCTTATGAACTGACTGAACAGCAATGCACTGAACATGATTAAACATTTTAAGGTCTAATACATACAAATGTTTTTTCATAATGGGCTTATTACTACATTGCTTTTATATGACTTGTTAATGAAACTAACCTGGTAGAAAATGTTTGATAAAGGGACTTCCTTGTACATGGCATGAGCCTATAAGTACTGATATACGATACTGGCCAGCATGCCGCACAGTGAACTTTACAACAGCTACATTGGCAGCACTAGGATCGGTGCCTCCTAGTTCTGCGATTGTAGCAACACGCCGAGCCCCTTCTGTCACTTCCACAAACAGGTTGTCAGTATCACAGATTGGGTAGGGCTGTCCGTTACGTTGGTAGAACTGAAAAAGTTCAAAGAGTATGATTTTAAAAACAGTGCATATACAAAAAAACACAATTAAAAAACTATGGAGTAGAATTGTTTGGCCTGATATAACAAAGTTTATTCAGGTGTTTTTTAAGAAAACACATTCATTTACTTATTGACGATGTTTTGTCTTGATGGGCTTATTGATGGGCAATGGGCTTATTACTTATTGATGATTTTTTGTCTAGAAGCCCCATCAGAGCTTCAGTTAGAAGTAAAGTTAATGAATCCAAACAAGTTGTGATTTCAACATGTATAAAATAAAAATTGTATTGTTCATAGAAGAACCAAACATATTTCAGTGAACAATTCAAATTGTCAAAAACAAAGTACGTCCTATTGGTCACTGAATTGTGTGTTATTCTAGCATGAATACTACAATCTTTACTTAAATTTGTACTTGTTAAATTCCCAACATGTGAGGATTCATTAACTCTTCTTATCACTTAAGTTCTGAAGAGCTCTAGCTTGTCTTGACAAAATGTTGCAAATAGGAAAATACATTTTTTATACACAATTTATTTACTAAATTTTAACAATAAATATTTCTTAATAAAAACTTTTAAAATTAAAAAAAGAATAAATTGATCAATATATTACAATCACTATACAATCACATGAGCAACTCTAACATACCTTTACAGTAAAAGTCATGGTTTCCCCCACAACTTGTGGTTCATCCCATTCAAAGTTCACCTTACAATTCCCAGGCAGCAGGTACTTTCCTGTCACATACTGAAGCAGGGTGTGTTTTGCTTCAGGTGCCAGGGCTGGCTGGGTCATTGCAGCCAAAGTAACCAGGCCAGCAACGCTGACAGATACCACAAGCATGCCGCCTGTGCAAAACCACACAATTCCCAAATCATTCAGTGATTCTCTAGCAACAAGTTGTATCTCAACATAGAATTTTGATCAACATTAAAACAGACAATCAGGTTGTGTGCTATAAGAAATGTATACACAATCCTGAAATATTCTCAATAAGAGAGAGACTCTTACAGATTTTCAAATACTTAAGTTGTGAGATAGTTATTTTAATAATTGAGACTTACTTCACTTATATTATTTGACTTCAATAGTACAATTTTATAACTAAAACTGATAGCAAAAACAATTCTTTGAATTAAAAACAACATTCATAAATTTGAATGTAGAGGTTAGCACTGAGGTTTTGTTAAAATTCTACTCACATAAAAAAAAATATTATGAACACTGCAATGTATGTTAAAAGAAATAAGCATTATAATTTTTCATCATCCCAGTTTCTGTGAGTCTGTAGTATACACAACATGTTGAAGATAAGGACTGTAAAAACTTTTGAATTACACTGGTAAAATATTTTGTAGCAATAATACCATCAATTGTTTTTATACAATCTGCGAGTGTTGATTTCACATCCGAAGTTCTTTTTTTCTTCTTTTTTTTCGGAAGCAGTTAATATTTTGCAATAATTGCAAACAATTATTGTCAACATTTACCAACAATTTGTCATTTTAATATTTCATATTTTGCTCATGGACATCACAGTGTGTGTCTGTGTGTTTGCTCGCTTGCGGGCGTGTATGTATGTATATGCACGCGCACGCGCGCGTGTGTATGTGTGTGTATGTTGTGTATGTTGTGTATGTGTGTATATGTGTGAGTGTGTGTGTGTGTGTGGCTGTGTATGAGCGTATGTGTATTGAGTGTGCGCGCGCGTTTGGCTGTGAATGGGTGCGCGTTTGTGTGTGCGGAGAAATATTCTCTTTAAACAATATGAGTACTTAAAATTAAAAAAAATTAAAATGTATATACAGTTTTCATAACAGCTTGAAAGGAGCCCAATATGGAAGTCTTCTTGCATTTGTAGCTTTTTATGAACAACTAAAAAATTCTTGTGTTTATTAGTCCCCAAAGAGGAAAAACGCTCAGCTTTACGAAACGTTGTACTAATAAAATCAGAAAATTATCAATCCTGGTTTCACTGTAACAAGAATTATCCTAATAAGTCTTCCAACGATTCACAAAATTGTATTGAAACATAATCTACATTTCTTTATTATATACACATTGGAATTCTATTAAGGCAAAAATATTCATTTCAACCTCTTGCGTTTGTAGATACTTTGATGATTATCGTTATTAATGCTTTAGCAGCAGTCTATCATGTATGTTCCGTCTACCTTGGTACTAATCGTTCAGTGTCTTGTGGTCCCGATGGAACCTTGCCCTTTCTCAACACTTACTTCAAAGTTTTCTGGGAATGTGTTCAGATGACTGCAAATGAAATGGAGATTGATACTCGTCACATCGCAGATCATGAATTGCCAACCACATATTGACTACAAGAGCATTGTTAACAGCCTTTTTATGAAATCTGGCATTACCGAAAATAATGACACCTAAGCAACTTCTTCCTTGTTCATCTTTTTGCGAAATTCTTTAACATTGCAAGTGCACGAATATGGGATCTATCAAACACACGCCTTGATCTTCTCATGTGGCAAGTCAGAAAGAGCATTGACATTGTACTACACTTACCACCTGTATTTGAAACCTTACGAAGTTTTTATAAAACTCAATGTGAGATTGAATGAAGGAAATGTGGTCTTTTTATTTTGAGGTCCCCAAGCATTTGCGACAATCAGCGAATTAATTCCCCTCTATCAATATAAAAAAACACCTCCAGTTTTCCGACGTATGCAACACAGTGTGGTTCAGTAGACCCTTTCTGTAATATTGAACAGTGTAATAAGCACAAATGTCATAATATGTAAATATTGTTCATAATTTAGACTGAGAAAAACTATATTGTAACTCATTTGTGAATCAGCTCTCCCCATGGTGTCAACTGTTAACTACTATTTTTATAGTGGTTGAATTTTAAATTTTGTCCGCATTTATGACCTTAGCCCTTCGTCAATATAGAACTGCCCTGATCAACAGGCGCTGTAGTGAGGGTAAGGTCTGAGAGTAAGCCTCTCAGACCTAAAATATAATGTTCACGGGCGAGGAAATAAGCGCTCGCGTATTGACCGTGGTGGAGCTTCAATTGAAAGGGTTGGACAGTAACAAAATAAATCTGCAAACTTCCTGTTATTCTTAAATATTTAGATTTTTGTGAAAATGTGGCTTATTTTGTTACTATATAGGTATGTCTTGTTCAAATTTGTGAGACTTGGGACAGTAAAAAGATGATATACACATCGACCAAAATCGAGATATTCTTTACGAAACGCGGGAGATTTGCTGCGGCTGGTGTGGCTCATCTTATTACTACACCAAACTCTTTAATTCAATCCACTGTTAAATTATTAGTTTACTTGTAAGAATAAAAAAAATGAAAAGCTGGAATTACTTTCTTCTCCTAAACTGTAACGCCATTCGGCGGCTTCTGCAGTGTTTATTGCCAAAGTTCTGCCTTATTCCTCTCAGTCTAAAGCAGTGGCCACCCGCACGACAGATGTGCGCGTTGACATGCCGATCTCAAAGGAGGTCAAACTCGTTTTTTGACACACCTTACCACCTACCTCCGATCTCTCAGACTCTGTTTAGTGAAAATCTGCTCCCCTTGATCGCCTCTACCTCTGCGTTCGTGCATTTTTTTCTGAAACATCCTGAATACATTAAAATCCAAAATATAAATTGTGTTTGACTACACTTCAATTTTTTTCTAAATACGTTTACTTGTACGTAACTACACCATAACTAGAATAACTATAAACATTTATAAAACTTACGAATGACTTCCCAGGTAAATAGTGTTGAGGAAAGATTCTGAAAATATTTTAAACTTATTTATTTCTCTTAATTTTCGGCCATCTCTCATTGTGCGACACTGATAAAAAATACTGTTCCTGCATATGTAGTAAATTACTTTCCTCAACACATTGTGTGGTCAGAATCCACGTTTTGCCTATCCTTGATGCCGAAGAATTGATTTACGGTAAAACTTAAGTCCGTGTATCTGTGTGTCTGTGAACGACGTCAGCGGTCAAACCGTGAGCAACATTTTCACAAAAACTGATATTCTCAAACTGGCTAATGTCGCGAGCCCTTGAATTTGAAAAATATATTTTGACTTTTTGGGGTACTTAACACGAAGCCATAAGAACATATTGAAAATTTTATAAAAAATGGCTCCAAATTATTTCTCTAAAATGTTTCCTGGGATAGATCAAATGACGCTTAAAAAATGGTGTAGGTCACACTTTTGTTGACCTATTTAAATTTTCGAAATTCAGTTGCAAAAGTTTTAAAAAATTTCAACGTATTCCTACTACTACTACAGTACTGAACATAGATACTTGTTACTAAATGAAATCTGTTCATCAAAACAAATCTTTAAATAGCATGTACAATTTTTCGAAAATATAAGTAGTTTGTGTGTAATTTGGCTTGAAATAAATGCAATTTTTAATACAGCTTACTGCTGTTATAAAAATGGATCAGATCCTATTTTCGGATAACCCCGAATATTATTGTCAATAAAAAATTAACATGGCCAAACTACTATATTGACGATAGAGCTTTTTTACTTATTGAAACGTATTCTTCGAAATTAGATCTTTAAGCAAGGTCATGAACATTTTTTGAAAATATGAGTAGTATCGTGTAATTTTGGCACATTTGTCAAAGTGAAAATTCGAATTTCCCGTAAATCCTTTGCTAGAGTCGATCACAGATCATCAGGTCACAATGGAACAATGACAACGCCGCGATATGTTCGAAATTCTCAGAATAACTTCTCATTGAGCGGTGTTTCTGGATGTATGGAACGCAGTTTTGGACTATCGAATTTTTGTTTGGAATGTATTAGCTTTAATTTACTCAAGTTTTCGAGCTATAATTGGTAATGGGTTTTACACGTGATGACTGAGATGTGTTACTATGGACAAATTGCGGTATTATAATTTTACTTAACCGTTACAAATTCGAGAAAGTATGTGATGTAGCACCACTAGTACCTTAATGGAATCTGTTCTTAAAAGGCAGATCTGTAAAGAAGGTCGAAAATATGAGTAGTATTTTGAGCGAAATATACGCAATTTTGACACAATTATTTTTTCGAAAAAAGAATTCATTTTTTTCTTCATTTTTGGTCGAATACAGCAAAGCACGCTAATATAAATGGCAGAAGTCCGATTTTTGCCAAAGTGTATGTAAACTCAAAAAAATCGTGGCTCTCGTGGCTCAGTGGGAAAAAGCTCTCGTGGCTCAGAGGAGAAGTCGCTTTCCTTTCACAACCGAGGTTCCGAGTTCGATTCCCGTAGAATCCCCGTAGAACCTCAAGTGCAATTTGTTACTCGTACGACAAAACGAGTTTGCATGCTTCACAGCGGATAGACCAACCTCTGTGAAGTGTCCTAAACCCTACCTTTATCCTAATTCTGGCCGCTGGGTAGTGACGCAGGAGCATGTAGTAGGAGGCGCGTACGCGGTGATGCTACCTGGCGGTCCTCTTGACAACTGACTGCGACGAGACGTGACATTAAATGACATATAATGTTAATAGAGGGTTACTTCTATAAAAAGTGCGATTATTAATGGAGGATTACTCCCAAGCCCGATGCGCTTAACGCCCCTCGGGGCTTGGAGACGCGTAGCGTCAATTCAGACATGTGTGTGCTACATCACATACTTTCTCGAATTAGTAAGGGTTAAGTAAAATTATAATACCACAATTTGTCCATATTAACACATCTCAGTCATCACTTGTAAACCCCATTACCAATTATAGCGCGAAAACTTGAGTAATTTAAAGCTAATACATTCCAAACAAAAATTCGATAGTCCAAATGATTGCAAAAACATTAGCATGCAGAAGTACAATATAGATGGTGAAATCAGTTTTACAAAAGTAGATCTTGAAATAAGGTTATGTACAGTTTTTTTAAAAAATACGAATAGTTTTCGCGTAAGTTTTGCTTGAATAACAATTTATTTTTTAAAATGTCTAAAAACGACTGCAAATTCTTACTTTTAATTTGTTTCCCTCGGATAGAGCAAGGGACATTTAAAAGTTTGGCACAGGTCTCATTTACGTTGAAAACGGCAAAAGTTAGGAATAATATGAGAAAGTACGTGCTGCTGTAGCACCAATAGTTTACAATTTACTATAAACTTTCATAAGCTGAAAATTGGGATATTCGAGTTCACATTAAAAAGGAAAGAAAACAAACGTGACGCGATACAATTGGTTAGCGAATTGAATTCAATACACCAACTTTAGAATTACACATCTGTTCAATTGAGTATCGCAGGGCAGTAGTTTATGTATCAAAGCCGAAATGTGTAGGTTTTTAAATGAGGTGTTTAGCATTCGAGGCGGAGGGTAGAGGAGCTGTGATTGATAAATGACCGAGTACTACTGTAATGTAATAACGAGAGACCACCGAGTTTATTTAATAAAGGGAGCACGTACACTTTCTTCCAACCTATGTACATAATATTGACTTTGTATACGAAATGTAAACTTTGGTAGTCAATAATCATTGTTGTCACGCTCAACCTCAACCAACTCAAAAACCTCAACCTTGCGGAGATCAACACTGGAGCAATTTCCTGTTTTAAAGGGGGAGTGTAAACAATAAAAGTTAATTACGCAAGTTAATTTCTGTGTTATTTGGTAGCTGACTAACGAGCGGATATTTCCAAGAATTCTCAGAAATGTATTTTGAGCGGGATTTGCTGACTCGACCTCCCTTTCGCCACTTACCCCAAGTCCACGCGTCCTCGTGTTGGGTGGACTTGACCACGGCGCTCCACAGCTCTGCCTTGAGCTGCGAGAGGTCGTCCTTGGAGGTGGGCAGCGCCTGGCGGGCGGCCGTCCACGCCACAAAGTCCTTGCCGAGGAGCGCGCGCGCGCGCGAGTCCTCCAGCCAGTAGACGTCGTCGAGGGCCGCCACGTCCAGCTGCACCAGCCTGCAAGACACGTCAGCGAGGGCTTACCAACACACTCTGCACCAACGATCGATTCATTGATTAGTGATTCCGGACGTGATAAATGCTGAGGTCAGTAGTTTCGTAAGTGTAGTGCATGTTTTATCGCAGACGGCAACGGTGATCTTCTCCTGCTGGATGTGGAGTTCCGGCGCCAACCTACCCGTCGGATTGAGGGGTTTTCCCCAACCAGATGTCTCCCATCAGGGAAGCACCGCCCCACCCGGGACAAGCTCTAATTTAAGTGTACGCGTTTAAGTGTCAATGTGTATATGAAAGGGCTGAGGATCGGACAAGGAAGAGGAAGAAAAGATCGCGCGCGGTCCTTGGACCGTTCGTTAGGGTACTGCTCCGGCATTCACCTGGAGTTCATTGGAAAAACCACGGACAACTACCGATCACCTAGCGCAGTCAGCCGCTAGAATTCTCCTCCAGACAGCGCAGCGGTTAAATTCCATCTAGATATGTAGCTAGGGTCGAAAATCCTTCCACCATCAGGATTCGAACCGTAGGGCCTCCCGGACACTGCAGTGACATCAACTGATGATCTGGGATACCTATCCTGGCCCCTGTTCAAAACGATTACAATGGCCCGTTCAGGCCAGTAGACGATTTTTGACAGATCCTAAATCAGTTCAGCATCGGCGAAGACCGCATCGCTCTGCGAAATATCTTCCGCTAGCCAGATGAACCGCGCATATTAATGCCTCGAAGTGTCAGTAGAATGCGAGTAGCTAGAGGTAAGAGATAGTTTTCACGAATGATTTACATTGTTCTGATATCGCCACTAAAAATAATATTGTACGAATTGATGCAAATCACGTCGAAAAGTAGACGAGAATGTGAATGCGTGCGAATGTAGTTATCATAGGTAATTCCACGAGTGCTTTGGAAATTGTCGACTCGCTAAGCGAGGAGGGGATTTATCTGAGAATTTCCAAAGCACGAATAGTATTTAATAGAACTATTCCACGAATGAAATTACGTCCAACAGAGTTTTTAAATACGCCAAATAGTGAAAATAACTGAAAGCATGTTCAAACCAGAAATGTTATATTATACTTCAATTATAGCACATACGCTGTTTAATGTACGTCAACACAGTGATCAATACATACCACCTCCTAAGATAGATGAGTTGCAGCTTATTATTGGCTAGTAGGGAGAAGCGTTAAGAAAAATCGGATAGAAAAAAGGGATAATATTTTTAGATACACCGTCCAGATTGGGGAATTTTATATAGAGTGAAACACTATTGGTTTTCAATTCTCTAGTGGAATAGTCATAAGGATATTAACGGGCAGGCAATAGATACTGCATTTCAAAGTGCCCGGCTGGTTAACTTTCATCATGCTAATGCATCATGCAAAAAATAAACCAAAAAAATAGTATGTAGAAGCATAATTATGTGAATTAAATTGTTTGTCAACTGTGAGTTTAATTAAAATTAAACTCACAGTTGACAAACAATTTAATTCACATAATTATGCTTCTACATACTATTTTTTTGGTTTATTTTTTCTGCACTCTAGCTAGATAAATACATTGATAAATGAACATTCTCGAGTTGGCAGAATGACAAAAATAATAGGGAGTAAAACTGCTCTAGCACAATTGGCCAACGTTTGTGAAATGAACGCGAATCATGTCATGCGATCTACATGTTACTCACTGACCACGCCCTCAATTTGGCTTGGTATCGATGGGTGTAAAGAAATCCGCTCACATGACTGAACATATCGTTCTTTATCACTAGATATAGAAACAAAAAACTTCTCCAGTGCACTGAAACAGCGCTGTTCAACTGGGCGGTCCACATGTCATGCCATGGCCCAGGCTCATCTGCGGCCCACTGATTGCCGATTGAGGCCGAAGGAAGGGGTGGGAAGGCGGTCGGGCACGACCGGCTCCAGTCTAGTGAAAACTAAGTGGCACACGGGCCACACTGGCCAGGGGTCCCAATTCTTGCTTTCGAGCGGCGCTGCTCTAAAGCAACAATATGCATATATTGGGAATGAACACCCCCCAAAAAACATGCCCCCCGAATACATGCTTTGTAATTTTACTCTATTAATCCAGTATAAGTGACTGCATTGGATTCTAAAGAAGTATTTGCATCATGGAAACTAACTTTAAAAAAAAGTTTTTTCAAAACACAGGAAGAAATTAAATTGCACTCCCCTGAAATACGTTCTGCATCTGCCTCTGGTATAGAATAAAATTGTTCCATAAAGAAAAAACGAAGTGTTCTAACTAAGCAGGAGTTCTAGAAAGGGATGCGCGTTAGGATTGTAGAGGAATACGAAAAACTTCCATAGGAAGATTTGGAGAAGAAATTAATCAATTGAATGGAGAATTTGAGTATATTCAACTTCATTTCGAGGGAGGATGGTATTACTCTGTTCGGAGTCGTTTATTGTGCGACAAAATAAAGGTATTTAACTCTACTTAATCTCTGTTTTGACAACAATCTATATGAAATATTTACTAGCTAAAAATATACTAATTTGTAAGTCAGCTGAGCACCACCCTCGGGTCGCATGCACACTTTAGAAGTTTCCTACTTTATTCTACACATTAATAACGTATTCAAATTGGATGTGAAGCGCGCAATTATCTAACCTCGTATCATCCGTGATTCATAGGAGTAATATCTCGGTGAAAATACAGGCAACTTGTAACACATTTTCTTCCATTTCTTTCAATATGTTTCGAAATTCAAATAAATAATAGCTAGCCTAGGACTCTCCCGCGACAATGTGGAGTAATTCTGATTTTATCCGACTATAAACGATCAAGTTATTGAATGCAAGATGGGAACGAACAATATCTACAGCCAAACAAAATTACTCGTTTTTGTGCATGCACAAGAGCGTAAAAAAAGGATCCCTGCAAGTGAATAGTACTACATTGCATCCGATCCCAGTGACGCAAAGGTTCAGAGTAGCGTCTAGGTACTGCTAGAGTTGAAAGAGCTACGGGTTCGAATTCTCCCATGTACGGCATGGCAGTTATCACTTTGTAGTTGTGGCACGTTCATGTTTTCACAGGGTGCGCGCGCGCACACACACACACACACACATTATATAAGTATAGAATAATGGTGCATGTATCGTATTCATTGAGGAACTGAGGTTTTCGAAAATTGCTCAAGTTCAACATTTGTTCAGCGCCTACTACAATATTGAATATAGAAATATTTTCCTTAATGAAATCTGTTTGAAGACAGAGTTTGAAAAAAGGTCATGTTCAATTTATGGAAAATAAGAGTATTTTCGCGTAACTCTGCATGAAATATAGGCAATTGTTAAACAATTATTTTCTCAAAAAGGTTCCAAATATTTTCTTTTCATTTTTTCCTCGTACTCGTATGTAGCAAAGGACGGTAAAAAAGGAGAAGAATACAAGAAGAATTCCGTGGATGAAGAGGCCGGTTTAGGTTCGGAGCTGGTTGCCACTACTCCGAAGTTGGAGCACGCGTGGCGGTCAGGGCCATTCGCCCGCTGCGAACCTGGCAAGGGGAACGGGGGACGGAGGACGGGGGACGAGGGACGAGGGCGCAACCGCGAGCGGCTCGGGGCGATCAGCGGCGACGGGGAGGCGCCACCCCCGCCATTCGCCCCAGCGGCGCTCAGGCCACGGCCGGCGCGAAACAGCCACATGCGACTCGGGGGTAATTGCGTGTTGCGGCCCTCATGCACCGCCCGCTTTACCACGGGGTGTTTGAGGCCGAGGAGAGGGGCGGCTCCGAAGCTGTCCTCGGCGGTTTCAGGGTTCGCACCGCACTCCTCTACATCCAGGCAAGTTTTCCTTTCTCTCCTTTTTTCCTTTTCTTCTCCTTCATTTTCTTCTTTGCTTGCCCTTCTTTTTCCTTCTTATTCTTCCGTCGTTTGTTATTTTCTCATGTCCTGTTCTCATTCCCTTCAGGAAACATGCCTCCTCACTCTGACATCTGAAATGAAGCCAAAATGAGACTTCCCATGCTATGTCTTCCAAACTCCTTCTCGCTATTTCGACCTAGGAACGTTTGGTAGGGCGCTTCCCCATCTAGAAGCTACTCACTCTGAGGTTGCTTGAGTGAAAAAAGTATACTAAATACGACGGGAGGGGGACTGTCCGGGCGAGTCCGAACCCAATTAGGGATCAACTAGGCGAACCAAGAAGGTCCTAAGGTACCGGCCCGTCCCACTGAACAGCCTGAGCGCAAACACGTCGATACAGCCGAGAATATCAGGAAAGCGGTTGGGCGTTTCCAACTAGAGCTCGAACTAAGGTCCTAGCGCAGCCTGCTGCAACAGCACCGAAGAGGGCGCAGGCGCCCAATTGCCCGCACGCGCGCAAGAGCGCTGCACACACGAGGAAGGGTGTGTATGGCTCAACAAAGATCGAAGACAGAAGTGCGTTTCCTACTTTCGCTTAGCTGGATGTTCGAAACATCACTTGAAAAGAGATATTAAGCTTTACATTCCAGAGTATGTGTTATTGATCATTTTCTGTTGAATCTGAACGTTTCTTTCTGAGATCCATTATGCCCTTTAGTCCCAGACCTACTTTATCTCTGCTTCGGCCGCCAGGGTCGTTGAATAAGCCAATTCGCGCTCCGAGATCTCACAGTTCAGCAAGCGCCAGCAAAGAGCCATAGCGCCGAGACAGGAGACGCGCCCGCCGTGAGTCGCAGGCGGGTAGTGGAGTTGGAACAGCCTGTTCCGGCCTCCCTCTGGGGGAGGCAACGGGGTGGCGCCACTCAGAGGTTACGATGGCGCGTCGCAGCGCCGGGCGCGGCCGTTGGCCGAATGCACATCACGCGCGCTGGCCGGCGGCGGCGGCGGCGGCGGGGGCGGCGCCGACACGCCCCTTCGCACCCGCCCGCGCACAGTGTGCGAGTTGGCAATGTTTTCAAATGCCTCACAAAAATGTAACAAACTTCTAAGATAAGTGTGGTTGGACGACGATTGATTTTTGTCAATGAACAAGTCGTGGGAAATTGTATTTAAGGAAGTTGCACATGATCCATCTGCAACATCGCACCCCTGATTGGTAGGCAACTCATTCTGCACTGGTGTTTGGTAGGTACACGAACTCTTCACACCGATCTGCACACTGGCAATGATAATATTGAGTCTTTTGTCTTTATAGTTCAGCTCTGATTACGTCTGAACGTGTCTTGTCTTTACCATGTATGCATAAAACTTCATGACAGACAATACGAGAAACGTATGTTTGTTCGCCCTCCTATATGCCTCAGAAATTTGTAACATTTATTCTAAATCCCCTTGTATATTTCTTGAAAACGTCAAAGATTCTCAGAATCTAAATAGAGATCCGTCAGAGAATCAAGTTCGGCTAGATTGCGCGAGTGCCACACTGTGTCGCGCCCCGAGCACTTCCGCAGATGAGGCCGCGGGCTCGCCGCCACCCCCGCCTCCGAGGGCTGCAGCTGGAATCTGGGGCGCGGACGGGGGAGCCAAACGAGCTTGCGGCAGGCCGCTGCGCAGACACCCCGGCTGCATCCCGGTCTAATTCATTTTACTTCGTTTTAATGCGCATGACATAGGCGACATAGTTTTCGTTTTACTATCAGCTGCCATTTAAACCGTCTACACTGACAGCCTTCCGCATATGCCTGTTCTGTGGTTATTTTCCTCCCGGTTACCTTAAAATATTTGTATGTGGTCACGGTAATTTGTTTCTCCCACATACACTCTTCACCGAGTTCTTCTGGATTTGAATTGTTTTTAAAAAACTCCGAGGCAATTTGCTGACAAACGCTCCAGTAATGAGCTACAGGTTTTTAGAGACATTTTTTCATTTAGGAAAGCTAGCACGGTCAGCATATCCTACTGCGATGTGTTACACTGTTTACGATTCAGAAAAAGAATGCTCATTTTCTTCATGTGCACAAAAACAAAACGCCAAGTTTTAAATTCTATGAACTGGAGTTAAAAAAACAGGACGGTCTTGTGCCTTCCTCCATTGTCCGGAGCTCTCGCCAATCCTTTTAAAAACGCGACACGCAGCGGTGCCGGCGGGGAACCTAGCCTAAACAGAGTACAGCATCTTCTGCAATAAAAAAAATTATTAAAATGTATTTTTATATCTAACCTTCACCCACGAGGAAAGGACAAGGGATCCATATTACCCATCTAGAAATGAATCCCGCTGATAAACAAATTAGAAAATACACTATGGGAAAACAGCGTGTTCTGAAGGGTTACGGTCGGCGGTTAGTGGCCTGACACGAACAAGCCACGGTGGCGAGCTGTCTCGTCGCCGACGCATTCTACCCTGTTGGGCGAAATATGAAGCAGGTAGCAGCGTCGATATATACTTACAACAGGTGCGGCGGTTCGTCGTAGGCCTTGGCAGTTGATGTATCAAGGAACATAACTGTGAGACCATATACATCCATTAATTTTCTTTCTGTTGGGGGAAGAATCATTTCCTTTTGTAGATACGGAAACAATGGCGAAGTGTTTTTGAAAAAACTGCAGTATGTTAAAACATTCAACCTACAAATGCATTACGCAGCTTTGCGACCCAGAGAAACCTGCGAGTTAAAAATCAATTCTATGGATTGACAGCCCACAATCATGGAATAAGAAACGGAATTTGCAGATTGAAGATTATAAAAAGATACTAAAAATTATGAGTATTTACCACATTCTCAAACAAAACTGTACATACAAAATAATCAACCCTATGGTCCAAATTCTCTCATGTGACCCCTACCCGGTATTAGTTATCTGTTTGTGAACAATAAATATTGTTAAAACTGTCTTTTCCAAAAAAAGTTATCTAACAGAAGAATGAAGTGGAAATACAGTTCTAGTTATGATAAAGAGTCGGATATTGTTTTGAGTTATGTAATAATGTATGTTCTATTATATAATTCTTCATATTGTTAATGAACCATAAACATTCTTAATAATAATTACGATTTAATAAACATAATTATCGATTTTCCAAGCGAACCTTCCCCCCCCCCCATTCCAAACTATCATTGGAACACTGCGCGCCCGCCGCCTCGTCGGGCTCTTTCTTTGCTCCGCCGCTCGGCTAGCTAGCAGGAGAGCAGGTTTCTGTGACGACACAGGGCATTGGGTTGGCAAGCACTGGTTTAGAGAATCAGACTCACAGCCTATCACTGCATTCCGAATCTCCGGTGCTGGACATTTTATTAATCGACGAATAATAATAATAATAATAATAATAATAATAATAATAATAATAATAATAATAAGCTTGATCCGCCTGTTCAACCAATCATTGAAACAAAAGAGAAGATAACCTCACGGAAAGCGAAGGCACTGCATGGAAGGTACCCTCACGGGTTGAGTAAACCAGAAGTCGACATCTCTGCGTCGCACGCATGGCTCCAGCACGGGGATCTCTTTCCGGAGACAGAAGCCTTCATGATAGCTATCCAGAACCAAGTGGTACCAACATTGAACTACAGAAAACACATTCTGAGAGATTCTACCATTCATTCCGACTCGTGTAGAAGATGTGAGGCTGCAAGCGAAACTATCCAACACGTGACAAGTGGATGTAGCAGCCACGCACAGTTGGAATACAAAAAGAGGCATGATGAAGTGGCGAAGCAGGTCCACCAATTATTGGCATTGAGAACGAGCTTATTCGCCACTTCCGTGCCGTATTATAAATATGTGCCTCAGAATGTGCTTGAAAGTAGTGAGCACACACTCTACTGGGATCGCTCCATTATCACTGACAGACATGTCGGCGGCAATAGACCCGATATAACGTACATTGATAGAAACCATCAGCAGGTTTTCCTTAACGACATATCAATACCCAATGCCCACAACATATCGGGAAAATATCAAGAGAAGATCCAGAAGTATACCGATCTCGCCACTCAGTGGAAATTCAGTAAAGTGACAACTGTGCCTATAATAATATCAGCTACAGGAGTGATCCCGAAAATGACACTTCGGGCACTGAAGTGTCTTCACTTGGATGCCAGTAATGTATATAATATGCAAAAGTCAGTAATTTTGATTACTTGCCGTATTGTCAGAAGCCATCTGAACCTTCAGTAAAGCAACTACACACCTGGACATCATTTCTGTGTGTGGTTGACATACCGACCAGTATATACTGTGGATAATGTATGATAATAATAATAATAATAATAATAATAATAATAATAATAATAATAATAATAATAATAATAATAATAATAATTTATTACTACAAAGGAGTATGCTCGGTGGCAACTAATTAAACAAGTAGAAAATTAAAAATTAGAATAATCATTATATCCAAATATTAATAAGAGATAAATAAAACAAATACAAATAAACAAACAAGAATGAAATACAATAAAACAGAAAGAGACAAGTATAAAAAATAAATAAAATGAGTCCATCTCTACTCCAACTCTTCACTTCACTTCACTTCACTCCATCTCCCTTCGGTAACCAGTAATTTATTCATTAACGGCGCATCGCACTTTTGTTCGCCTTCAGCACATTTCACTGGACATAACTGTACTCTACTCTGATGCTGTTAAGAAGTCTCAAACACATAACTGCTTCTGTGAAGCGTCGCCAGCACGTTTGGTCTGACTGGTAAATTGTTCCAGTCAACAATAGTACTATTCACGAAGCTGAATTTTCCCACATCATTTTATTTTTATTCTATATTATATATTACCTACTTAAGTAGCGTGGTACTTCAAGTCTTTCACCGACAGCTTTCCGTGCAGGTTGCTTTCAGTGCGCCTTGAAGAGAGCACATGGTCGTGTCGGTGTTCAAGTAAGCTATTCTTGTTCCGTGTATGCCGCAGTTCCATGTACGGCACAGGCCTTATGAAGATGGATGATCGACTCATCGCTCGGTGCTAGGAGCGCGAGGGAGGACGGGGAAGGAAAGGAAGGATCACACGCACTCCGGCATTCGCCTGGGAAATGAGAGCAGTCGGCCGACGAATTCGATTCCATCAAGCGCCACTGTAGGAAACGTAACATACCGATGTTAAACACATCAAGTAATTTCTGACATGTTGCCGGAATCGAACCCGCGACCTCCTCCTGCTCTCTTGTGCCTTCCAACAGTAAAGCGATTTATTTATTTTATTTATTTGTTTACGTCAAAAACAGTTCAAAACTGTGTGACGTGCAGTAGAGGGAAGTTAATTTGAAGTTACATTTATGTCCAGAAGGAAAACAAGGGGCCATCTCAGCATTTGCTTGAGGATCGGGGAAACTGGACGAAAATCTGATCGAGATGGGGTCCTTTACGCTCGCCGTTAAGTGTTAGTATGAATTTGCTTTTGAGACAAAACAGAGCTTCCATTTGTGCATCTTTGGATGTATTGATATGTTTTGTTTTTGTTCAGGCTCCTTGTGAACATTTCATTTCCCTAGCAAGTATACTTTTGGAAATCTTAATTATTTGCGATTTCCTGTACCCCTTATGGCTAACAACTCAGAATCACACGTGAATGTCAGTCGAAAAGAAGTTTGTTGAAATTAAAAAAAAATATTGATTCGCGGGCTTGCCCCATGAATATTAAGTCGGCAAAAGAAGCGATGGGGAGGGGTGGGTCGTTGGAGAGGTGAGCTGGCCTATGTATCAGCTTCATATGTCTTATTCAGCGTTATATACAGTAGGCAACAGTAGAAATAATGTCAAACAAACAACTAATTTTTTAACCGACGTAGTCACTTAAATACACAAAAATGTGCCTTTAATGCCAAAAATGTGCGTTTTTTGTTATTAAGCATATATTTGTATACAAAAATTAAATAATAATATTTTATTTTGCAAGTGGCTGAAATAGTCTATTATATGCAACTAGATTAATTACTCACGAGCGCGGTAATGAGAGTGTATAATTACTAACGAACACATAATGATCTTTTAGGCACGTGCAATATACAATATTTTTATCTTTTCCGAACACCTTGGCAATATTTTGGGCTTATTCGCTTCCACAAGAAGGCGTAATGACGAACGGTATTATATCGATTTCGGCGATACATTTGGGGGTCTTAGGGGGTTTATTTGAGTTGACAACTGTCTGTTGCGCTAAAATGGAAGATATTCGTTAAGTATTAAAAGAAGATTTTATGAATTCCACTAGCACTAACTAGCCGGTCGGTTATAGTTATATATTATATATATATATATATATATATATATATATATATATATACATATATACACACACACAGGGAGAGATAAAGAGAGAGAGAAACGTAACTGATATGTGTGGGTCCTGAAAGGAACCGCGACCACACATGGTTTGAATTGGCACGCAAACAGGGCGTGTTCAAGAGTGTGTGTCAGCCGACCAGCTAGTTAGGGGAGGTTTCCTACGTCACGAAGAGGTGAATAAGGGAGGTGGGCCGACTTGACCAGAGGACGAGGTGTTCAAAATCTTCTAAAACCTGCAACGGTCAAAAGCAGACGTGTGTTAGACCGGTACAACGTAGCACGCTTTCGACCAGTTTCTTATACGTAGCGCTACAATTACGTGAAG